ACACTGCAGTTCGGCAGCACTGGTGAGAACCTTTACTCTTTAGATGCTTCACAGACTGAGGTCAAGGCAGGAGAGCCCCCGCTGTGTGCTGAGAGCAGGCCCGGGTTCATCATATCAGGAGAAACAAACGCCAAGTCATCCCATCATCCTACTGTCCCTTCCATAGGTGTCAGGACTCTTGGTGTTACTGTGCCCGTCATATATTGGGATCCTTCAGCATCTTTTGGTGCTTCTAATTGCCAATGTTTCTGTATCTCTGAGTCTCATGCATGTGTGCAGGTGTGAGTGGTGTGTACATTTATGCCTGTGTGTGGCAGGCATGTGTGATGGAGTGTCAGCCTAGGCCTCACTTTCTGTCCCCCACTTTACACCCACTGTGTTCCCTGGCCTGAGCACAGTGGCTTAAGTGACTCAGGGCCACAGCGTGCATTTGGTTGGCCAGGTTTCAGCTCACACCTTTTGGCTGTGGGATGATGTTAGTGTCTACTTGAAGATGCTCCAGCTGCATAAGAGATGTGAAGAGGTGGTGACTCCGTGGCTGCTTTCCCACCTCTCAGGGCTTTCTCCACCCCAGAGACACTGACAGGGCAGCTAGAAGCCTCTATCTGGACTCTTCATCCCCGTTACAACAGTGTTCATCCCTGATTCTGATGCCTATTACTACACGTTTGGGCCTGCACCTGTCCCCACTACCTGTGATCAGGGGTTGTTCACCCTGCCAAAGTCCCATCTTAGGGTAGCCAGCCCCACACTGGATCCCCTGGAGTCCCAGTGGCTAGATTGAGTCCCTGAAGGGGAGGTGACCAGAGCAGAGGACCAACCCCTGGACTTGGAACTTCTGCTGGCTACCTATGGTTGTCTGGGCTGCATGGCTGGGGCCCCAGTCACTGTTCTTATTCCTATTGATACTAGACAACCTCTTTCTGGTGCTTAGCAACGGCCTTTGAACTGAGAATTTGGAACTTACTTTTCTGATTATAAAAAATGTCGTGCCATTTAAAAAAAAAATCCACACTGAATGGACTGATGGCCTCCGCACACTGAATGAGCTTATGGCGCACTAGACTGGTGGTGCTGGGTAGTGAGATCCACACTGAGCGGACTGACAGCCTCCACACACTGGCCTCGTTGCCCCCAGTCTCTTCACTAATCCCTTGAGATTATTTGATCATCAGGCAACTGAGGTCTGTCAATTTTCTTTACTCTGTAAAGTTTACTAAACACAGAAACACCTACTAGTGTTAACCATTTTTTAAATTTTTTGTCTATAATTTAGTATTTTAGGAATATATAATTTCACAGGGACTTGATATATTGCTGTTATTATTTTAAATATTTTTTGAGAATCTTATGCACTGCATTTTGATTGTATTCATCTGCCTGCTTCATCTCCTTGTCCAGCCAACTTCATATATCCTTACTCCTCCCCTCCCTCCTCCTTTCTTTCTCTCCCCAGACTCCCCACTCTTACTCAAAAAAACAAAACAAAACAAAACAAAAAACCATTGTGCCAGTTCGTGTTGACCAGCTAGTTCTGGGAATGGGTCTTGCTCTGGAGTGTGGCCAATATATCAAGTGTCATTCTGTTAAAGAAAATGGAATCTCCCTCTCCTGACACCAGTACAAGCCAATAGCTCCTCAACTAGGGGTGAGACTTTGTGGCACATCCCCTCCTCCATTCTGGGATTCAGTGTGGATGGAGTGTGTGCAGGTCATGTGCATGTCATCACAAGCTCTGTCAGTTAACATGTGCATCTATCTGTTGTGTCCAGAAAAACTTCCTTGAAGACATTCACTACCTCTGGCTCTTAAAATCTTTCTGTACCATCTTCCACATGAATCTTGAGCCTTGAAAGGAAGGATAAGATACAGATATCCCATTTAGGGCTGGGAATTTCAGTCTCCTACTCTCTATTGCCAACTACTATAGTAAGTGTTTCTGATGAGGACTGAGTGATACACTGGGCTACAGCTATAGCAGTAAGTCATTAGGAGTAGTTTTATTGCTATATCCATTTAGCAGAATAATAGTCTTCCTCCAGGGGCCCATGACCTATCTAACCACAGGTTCTGGACCTTACTGAGATCCAGATATGGGTTCTATCCTGTTTAACAGGTCTTAAATCCAATCAAAAAGTGGTTAGTTACTTCTATAACATGTGTGCCACTATAACCAGGCAGGTTGTTGTTATAGCTCAGAGTTCCTAGCTGGATGAGACAATTACTTTTCTCATGCATGTATAGTGTCTTCGAACAATATGAAAACTAGCCAGTAGGGGGAAAGCTTCCAGGTTAGTACCAGCTAGATTTCTCAAGTATGTGTTATCTCCAGCAATAGAGAGTTGTTTACTTGTTTGTTTTTCCAAAGCAGGGTTTCTCTGTAGCTTTGGAGCCTTTCCTGGAACTTGCTCTGTAGAACAGGCTGGTCTCGAACTCAGAGAGATCCACCTGCCTCTGCCTCCTGAGTGCTGGGATTAAAGGTGTGCACTACCACTGTCTGACTTAGCAATAGGGTTATACCATCAATTTCTAGAGGGCAACCAATAATACATTGGCATAGGTTATGATGTTTGGGTGCAGGTGTATGAACATCATTGACAACTCAAAAATAATAATAGTAAGTGACCATTCCCAGGTACTGGTGGTTTGATTTGAAAGGCGTATGATATCTAATTGGGTATTGCCTACCACTCTGAGCATAATTCCATTTAAACTTGTACTTTCCAAGGGCCTTTTGTTTTTTTTAAGACAGCTCCTCTGTAGCCTTGACTGTCCTAGAACTCACTCTGTAGACTATCCTGGCCTCAAACTCAGACACCCACCTGGCTAGACTCCCAAGTGCCAGAATATAAGGTGTATGTGCACCACCACTGCCTGACTCAAAGGCCTTTAATATTGGTTATTTCTCGGCATAGTCTGTTCTCTACTATGTGCTCCCAAGCCCTGCCCCACTTAGTCATTCCTGGTCCATTTTTCTCTTCTCCAAAATGTTTCATGAAATGATGTTTTGTTTTGGCTTTTTTTTTTTTTGTCACAGGCTTTTTCTATAACTGATGAGATGATCATGTGGTTTTTGTCCTTTATTCTATTTATGTGAAGGATTATGTTTATTGATTAACTTATATAGAACCACTCTCGTATCACTGGGAGGAAGCCAACTTTATCATAGTGAATAACATTTATGTCTTCTTGGATTCTGTTTGCAGGTATTTTGTTGAGAATCTTTGCACTTACGTTCATAAGAAATATTGATCCTGAATTTTCTTTAGTTGGTCTGTATAACGGAATAACCTGAGGAATATTGGTGTTTTGAGTGTTTTGTAAAATTTCAAACTGACTCTATCTGGCCCAGGCTTTTTTTAGTTGAGAGATTTTTAATTGCTGCTTATATCTTTTTAGATGTTATGGGTCTATTTCAATTTTTAACTTTGATAGGTTGTAAACATACAGAAATGCATTTCTAAAGCATGTCCTCATGATTCTGTGAATTTCATCAGTGTCTGCTGTAATGTCATTCTCATCTCTAATGTTAATTTTGATCTCTCTTTTGGTTAATTTGGTTAAAAGTTTGTCAATACTGTTAATTTTTTGAAAGAACTAAACCATCTTTCATTGTTTGTATTGTTGTTCTTTCTATTTCATTGATTCCATCTCTAAGTTTAATTCTTCCTGCCTAATCTTTTTGGGTGTTCTTATTTTTTAAGCTTTCAAGTGTATCATTAAGTTATTTATATGAGATAGCTGCAGCCCTAGCTCATCTGGATGTTCTATGTCTATGTAGACCAGGCTAGCCTTGAACTCAAGAGATCCACTTGCCTGTGCCTCCTAGGAGCTGGGATTCATTAAACACATATGCCACTATGCCTCTATGTTGTGTAATATTACACCTTGTATTTCACTTAAAATATTGTAGAAATTTATCGTTACTTTAACGTGTGAAGTTTCAAAAAGAATAAAAGTAGTGCCTCTTACTACAATTAATCTTCCTATCTGAATAAGCTTTTTAATGTTGTTTTTGTAGAAGGGATCAAACCCAGGGTTGTGAACATACAAGGCAAATGCACTACCACTGTGCTACATCCCAGCCCTCTTGATATTTTAATGGCACATACACCACATCTTAATGACATGCCTACCATGTGTTAGTTTAACCCATCTAATTGTTGACATCCCTCAGATTTGTTGTTAGGATTCCACTGTTTTTCTTGCTGATGTGTGTGTTTGAGATACATGTTGCTGTCTGGGGTTTTGAGAGGGTGGAGTGCTGGGGATCAAACCCAGGAGGGGGTTTGTATATTCCAGACAATAAACTTTATCCAATCTCTTTTTCTTGAAAGGCCATTTCTGAAATCTTCTTCCTCTTTGACTGCTTTCCACTTGTCCATGCATTTGACACTCAAGCTTCAGCTCCTGCCCTTTGCTCTTGTATTTTTATTCTCAGGCACCTATGCTTCCAATCCTGCTCTTTCCTGTGTTCTCTCCCCGGTTGCCATATTTAAACAAGTATATCCTGAGGAGAAATCCTGCTCTTTCATAGACTCCCATTATTCTTAACCCAGCTATTTTTGAGCTTAAGAGAAATCTAGATGAAAAAATGTGAAAATGGCTACTCAGAACGGCCCCTACACATAACCTCTAAATTTTACTGTCAAAAGGACAAAAAGAGAGGTTGTCTGGAGCAACTGATAATTACCCTCAGCCTGCTTCTTCTAATGTTCTGGCTGAGGTAAATACAAGTTGTTAAAAACCATACTTAATAGAGCATACTTAATAGAGAAGTCACACTTTTTTGTAATATTTAAAGACAGCTCAAAAACTGACCACGTTTGATCGTGATCTCTATTCATAGCGTAAGGAGAGATCATTGTCTGTGCATCTGTCACTAGAAATGCCACTTCACTCCACTCACAAGTCACGAGTCTGTGCAGATGGAGAAGCATGTCAAGTTTTACAGTAGAGAGACCACCGAGATAACATCAAGGTTTTTCTTCTTTTTGCAGGGAAAGAAAATAAAATGAAGCTGTTTCTTGTCCTATGTCTTCATCAGATCGTCTTGAATTAAAATGACAGATCTTCCTTCAGAGAACTGCTCTCTCCAGCACCTATCACACCAGCTGAAGCAGCCCGTAGATCTTAGCCGTCTGTTGTTCCTCATCATACTTGGGAAAACGTTATTGAATATTCTCATGCTAGGGTTGAAAAGGAAAGACACCCACTGGGGCTTTATGGAGTGTTTCTGCTTCTCACTAGCATTTGTTGATCTTCTGCTGTGGGTTAACCTTTCCATTCTGTCCTACTTCAGGGACTTTGTAGTTCTAGGTATTAGGTTTACACAGTATCATATTTGTCTGCTCACACAAATCATTTCCTTCACTTATGGCTTTTTGCATTATCCAGTTTGCTTACTAGCTTGTATAGACTACTGTTTGATTCTGTCTGGAGCCACCAAGCATTCATCTAAGTGGCGAAGGTTATTTTATTTCTTGACAGTCGTTTTAACTTGGATTTCAGTCTTTGCGTATGTTCTAGGAGAGCCAGCCATCTCACAAAGCCTGAAGACGCACAACGCTTCTCTGTACCAATGCCCTTCCTATGTCAGCACACAGAGTTACTGGCTGTCATTGTCTATGCTGGTAGTTTTATTTGTGGCTTTTCTGGTTTCGTGGCCGGAAGTTGTTGCCTTGGTACAAGCTATTAGGATAGCATCCTATATGAACAAGACCATCCTCTACTGCCCCTTCCCATTCCACTCTGGAGTGAGCGCTAGAGAAGCTCTCTTGCCCAGGCTTATTGTGTGCTTTCTTGCTACCTGGTTTCCCTTTGTAGCACTTCAGGCCCTCACCCTCTCACTCAGAGTTCAAATCCCAGCATATGTAGACATGAACGTGCCCTGGCTGTACTTTGTCAACAGTTTTCTCATTGCTGCAATTTCTTGGTTTAACTGCCAGAAGCTTTATTTAAAGGACAGCACATTACCTCTGGATCCTTTTGTCAACTGGAAATGCTGTTTCGTTCCAGTCCATAGACTTAAGCAAGTGGAGAGGCCCGTATCCATAATCATCTGTTAACAACAGGCTGCTGTGTTGGGAGGAACTTCAGAAGCACCACAGATCATAAGCAGGACAGAGGTGGCTCAGGGCACAGAACTGAAGCTGTGTCCCCTAACTTAGAACTTTTCAGCACAGCCTCTCTGTAGTGGATATTAAATAGTGCCAAGGACACAACAAAGTTTCCATGTCTGTTCAGCAACACTGTGTAAGTATTTGATGTTAATCCAAAAGTAAAATAAACACATTAACATGTGGCCAGCTTGATGTTTTCCTCCAAAAAATACTACTGAATGCAAAATGTTAAATTTGAGATTTCACTGCCAACTTTAAGAGAAATATTAGCTCATTTTAAATATAGCTAAGATATTATATTATAAATATTCCTGGAAAGTTTCAGCTGTTTAGCTTATGGAACTGGGATCCATAGGGCCTCTTGCCATAACATGCCAATTGCATGTTCATTTATATCAGATCATAATCAAGTTAGCAACATATACTATAAAAAACCTTAGACTCTTATTTAGGGCTAGATGATTCTGTCTTTTGGGGTAACCCCACACACTGTATAAACGCCAGTGACACCTTCCCCAGAAGTGGCAATCAAAAATGTTTCCACATATTCCCAAACCTCCTGGGCACAACTGATCAATTCCAATCTCCTGGGAAAACCACCCCTAAAGAGAAGCAATGTAAGTCAGAATAAGCTGAAATCATATTATGAATTAAGCTACATAGATACCTTGGCTGCTCTTTAGAAACACAATGTGTTTCAAGAACCACCCCTAGCATTTCTAAAATGAGTGACTTAGAGGCTGGGGTGAGGCTCACTAGGTGGAGTGCTTACAGCACACAACAGTTTATGTACGCTGTAGTGTAGTAGTGTGTGCCTGCAATACCTGGGGAGCTGTAAGCAGGAAGACAAGAAATTCAAGGTCATCCTTATCCTTGAGGTCAGCCAGGGCCATGTGAGATCTTTTAGTCTCTCTCCCACCAAGCAAGATGTTTTAACAAGTAGTTGTGACATATGTTTGACACTTAAGATATCCAACATTCCAGACAACACCTTGTGATGCAAACCTAACCTGAGTCATTCTAAGAAAAAGGGCACAGGCTGGGTCACGGTGGTGCATGCCTTTAATCCAAGCACTCAAGAAGCAGAAGTGGGCAAATCTCGAGTTCAAGGCCAGCCTGGTCTACAGAGCAAGTTCCAGGACAGGCTCCAAAGCTACACAAAGAAGCCTTGTTTTGAAAAAATCAAAACTCAATAAATAAAAGCGCTGGCACAATGAAGTGGTGAAATAAACTAGGAGGCTATCACGGGGATGTCGCGTTTCATTTGTTAATGCAGAGGAAATTCCAGCTGCCAATAACCTGGGCTTTCATTATCCCAATTTATGGCTCCTACTTTCAGATATAAAACCTCAGTGAATGGCTGACCTGATTTAAGTCATATATGCTCATCTGTGACCAGTGGTGCTGCAAGGAGACACTGGAAGGAACGGAACTTAATCATTAGGCTATAGTATTTAATAAAATGTTTAAAAATTAGGCATTAACACCTAAGAGAAAGTAGGAATAAAAAATTACATTGTTCTAGTTTTAAAATGCAAATAGATACAATTACATCCAAAGCCACACCTGATCTGCGTGGTGCTGGGGACTGGACCCAGGGCTTCAGGCATGCTAGACAAGCCCTCTACTGCCAACAGCAAAGCTCAGCAGACACGCTCCTGTGAGGTGCATCTGAGCTCAGATGTCAGGAGCTGGTCTTTTAGTTCTGTGGTGCACGTTTTCCTCGCCATGTTTGTCTCTGCCTTCCAATTGGCCATAACATAAGAATAAAACATACTTAGCTATATTGAACTTAATGTATACTTTTAGTAATTATATGCTAGGAAATGTATAACCAGTTCAGCCCTCCATTAAGGTCTTTACTTAGATTTTCCCATCTCTCAAAAGCTTAAAGAAGTAAAAATACAATAACCAGTCAGATTTTTATTTGTAAAGAACTGAAGTTACAACTGGTCTACAATATATTATTGTAATATAAACAACATAAATAAAAGATCCTGTAGGCCCACCACTAATCTTCCACCCAGACCCACTCGAAGCCATGTTACAATACTCTATGTGAAAGTGTGCAGGTAACAAAGGTGCAATCCAAGCAAGTTTAAGCAGCAGAGTATAAGGTGCTTCCATTAGCAGTTAACATTGCCAGCAAACATCTGATGCTCCGTTTTACTCACTGAATAGACATACGAACAGGAAGTCTAAAATTCATACACATGCGACGTAATATGAAAGTGCTTTCTCTTTTCTTAAAAAAATACATCAAATGAACAGTTTTTACATAGATAATGGTGTGCTCTTATAATGCAAAATTAACTTCATTTTCAGGTTATACATTGTAAAATTGTAGCTATGAACACCAGTCTAGGAAGTCTATGCTAAGGTGCTACAACTATGTCATTTTCTGTGAGGACTCATACAACATCCCATGTAAGACACATCCATATAACCTTAATATTTGCTTTCTCTAAGATTAAAACACATTTTCTTTCCCCCGTGGTGGTGCTTTTTTTTCCTGATGAATCATCTTTTGAGATTTTTTTTTAGTATGAAACTTTGATTTTAGAACAATGGGAAGAATCAAAAGTAATTTTTTTTAAATGTGCTTAATAGGTTAAAAAGTAGTTAATCACAGCAATTTGCCCCTGTGGAACAAATCTGAAGCAGTAAAGAGAACATTCTACCTGAATCCAGAGGCCTGGAGCCCTTTCCTACTGTCAGCATCCGCTCCTGTGCACACTGTCTGCAACACACAACCTGCATCCCTAGCACAATCCTGCCCTTTCCAAGAACTTCTCAATTTTGGAAAAACAAAACAAAACAAAAGACCCATCTTTTGAATGAGGTGATTAGCAGTCCATCAACGTGAGAAATCACATACAAAATTACAATCTCTGTATTCTTGGCTGAAGTATGAAGTTCCAAGAATACATCTACAAAATCAGTGTTAATGCAACAGAGATCTAAATAGCATGGAATATTTCACAATTTAGGTATACTTTAAAGAACTTAAAACACTTTAAGAGTACCAGCACCCCAGAACAATTTAAAGGCCAGATTACTGGGCTATTTAGATTAGTATACCTTAAAAAAAAGAAAATCTGTTTGAATGCATCATTATATATAGTCATCTAACACTTTACTTGGACATTTTCCCACCTTAAAAAGCTACAGCTATGATACATAAGTTTTTAAAATATATTTTATATCTTTATAAAGAATGTTAGTATCATCAACTGATATTAGTATTTAAAGAAAAAATTACAACCTGATTCACAGAATCCCAGAGTTACAAGAGAATTTACCCAATTAAAATTGATTGTGACTCCATCTTTACTCCCCAAATACTTGCCAGCGCAGCAGGACCTGCTGTGTTACCAGTCCTGCGTGTCACGATGCAGTGCATCCCTCCTCTGACTGACAGCAGTGCACACCACAGTCAACACTGGAGAACCAGCAGCAGCCTGTTCTGGTCTCCTCTTAGATGTCTCTGTTTTGGAAAACTGCTCTTATCAATACTGGATCTAAAGATGTCTAAGATTCTACATCAGCTCCTCACCTGCCACACACCATGCCCAGGACTAGTCTGACACTGTCTGTCACAGCCCTCTCGGCTGTCACGGCAGGTGTTCTCTTGTCGACAGACGTGCAGTATGAGAGGGGTGATGTGACTGGACCCCTTGGTTGTTAATAACCCCAGTTCCCAGGCAACAGGGCATTAGCTGGGAGAAAGTACATATATGCTTAAGCAGCAGTGAGGCTGTTTGGGAAGACTTGATGCGTTATCTTCTTTTTAGTCGTAGATGCTGCACACAAGCCAAGTGTCCAGTAGTTGACAAATGGATGAGTAAGTGCGTGTGAATAGTATCACCTGTCGTTCAGTCATACTGTGGTAAGCCCAATTATGGAGCTCAGGGCTGTGATTTTAGAGCTGGGGGAGGATATTTCTTCAGTAATTACTTAAGCCAAAAATCAACAGTGCAGGTATCACACTGTGCATTCAGATGAGAATACAAACCAAGCAACTGCCCAGGTGTCACACACAGCCAATTTGTCATCTGGAGTAATGCCAAGTCTTACAACCACAGTATTTCACCTCCACTCAGCAGGGTAATGCAGCTGGTGGATTTATGTTACTCACTACTAAAGAAAAAGAGTAATTTTGCTCATTTTTTAGTACTACCAAAACATTTAACACAGGTACTAAGTACACGAACTTTAAACACTGTACATATTTAGTTTACTTGAGGCAAGACTACAAAAGTCCCTTCCTTCTACAGTGAGTTCATGTTTGTTTCAATAATGTAATCGCCACGTCTTTTTAACCACCATCAGAGAAAAGTCCACAAAGCACAGTTAACACTGACGTACTCCATTAAGCCAAAAGGTAATAGGGACTAGGACATCTAAGATGGTGACTGGTGTTAATTCAGACAGTATAAAAGGACTTAGCTATATCCCTCTTATATTCCATAAAGTTATGCCATGCTAGCATAATGTTTTAAATTTATACTGATTGTTTCAAAATTAAAATTCATTCATTACATACCTTCTTTAAAAATTTTCTTTCTACAGATTCATACCCAATACCAGGAATATCACAGAGAGCAGTAGGTGTATACTTGAAAAGCAATAGAAAGACCTCTGCCTAAATATAAGGTGTCAGAATCTCATTCTGTACCTAACATTTTACTTGAATTGCATTTTTAAATAAAACACAATGTTCACAAGCTACCAAAAGAGGAAAAAAAATAAAATCACCATGGAAATAATTTCCCTAACTATGGCACTTGCCAGAGAGTGTGTACACACATGGGACTCTGTCTTAGGAAGCTGGGACCACTTCACAACAGAGGGCAGAACCTCCTAATATTCTACTCTGAAACATGATGGTAGTAATTGTACTTCAATTGGTACCTTGTAACCTTAAAAAAAAAATCTCTTAGTATAATTTCAAAATAGCTTGAACTCTAGAACTAATACACACAACTTGTAAGGTCTTAATAATATTTTGGGTAACTTTTTTAAAAAGTTAGTGTCATTTTCAACATTTTAAATTGAAGAAACAACTTTTATTTCAACTATACACTATAGGGTAATGCACTTTATAATCTTCTAACACAAGAGAAATATCTTCCCAGAGAATTTAAGATATATGGTTCAATAGGTTAAAATTAAATATTAGTAACATATTTACTATTTCTAACACATATTTTTACTCACTTGGGTACCAGTGGTACCAGTAACATCAACCCACCTCAGAGCAGGGTCAGGTGATAAGAGAAAGAACTCATTTGATTAAAGGCAAATCTTGACATTTAAAACCACCAGGGCTAAGTTTGGCATGGTGGCACAGGCCTCCACTCCAGCACTTGAAAGAAGGCCAGAGGATCACAATTCCAGGTTAGTATAGGCAATCAAGCAGAAAGCACAGTATGTAAGCTCAGAGGTGGAGTGTGAAGCCCTGACCGCAGACCCTAGTACCAGCAAACAAAACAACTAACACACTGTAAGACCTTTATATTGCTACAATGGGAGTCCAACCACCCAGCACCATGGGTCTTTCTAAGCTGCTAATGACCACCATCATGTTAAATGTCTTCATTTAGCTAGCAGTGTCGTCTTCCTGTCAGCTCCCAACAACAAAACAAAACAAAACAAACAAACAACAAAAAAAAAAGATGGGTCCAAGGTCCAACTAGTCACACAGTTAGATGTACGGTGCACAAGAAACATACCTAGGCAATGATTTGCATAGATTGACAAACCTTTCATTGTAATACAACTGGTATGGTTATAAAGGTCTAGCCTCATTAAAAAATCCTGAAGATTTCCAAGCAGGATACTACCCAACCCCAAGCAAGAACTAAGAAGAAAGCTCTATGCAGTTTATTTGGGGTAGGATTGGGGGCAGAAGGGGCTTAGTGAAGGAAATGAGGTGAAGCCATTCCATGCCACTAACAATACCAGTTGGCAGCAAGTGTTGCCGGCATCACAAAGGATGAAAGTCTTCAAACCGCAACATACAGCCTCTCAGGCTGAAAACATGTCTGAAATGCTTTAACAGTATTCCCAGTCAGAGTTCATACAATGACAATAGCTGCAAGACCAGCTTCATTCACATGCATCAGTAATAATCTATTCTTTCTAAAATCACGTATACACATGAAATCAAAGCCTAAAATTACACGACTCTATCTCTTCCCTACCACTCTGGTTCAGGATCGTACTGAGTCCCTTAAAGCATGGCTCTGAGTTCTGAGGCACACAACTAAACAAACTTGTAAGAAACTGTGTCCTGTGAAAGACGTCAATCCAAGACTCGTATTGTAAACAGATCTGTGACTAACAATTTTGCACTTACTATATGAAGATTGACTATGTAAAAAAATTATTTAAAAGCATGGTCCAATACAAACAACAAAAAGAGGAAAGCAGCAGGATTCCTAAAACACACACACACACACACACACACAAAAAAACCCACTTCTATTTATTTAGATAACTTCAAAAGTGCAGAAATGTGTTCAATGTTGCAAAAGTGGGAAGTTCCATTTGCCTCTTAGCCATCTCTAGCTCATTCACGGCCATTTCTTTCCTCTTTTCTAGCATCTCTCCTCCCAGGTGAAGCTTTAGCCCGGATGTAACAATTAGAAAGAACTCCACAGCAAATGGAAGTGAGTGTAACCATCACAGTTACATGCCCCCAGAGCTGTCACGTATGAAGACAGCATTCCTATGCTGTGCTGATTTATAATGAAGCTCGGTAGCTGTGCCTTGCACATGTCTACACAAAGCTTGTAAGTATTGTCATATAAAGTAACTTTTACAAGCCAGCTGTTTTATTTCCCTAAGAACATAGAACTTAAATAAAATGTGAAAGGTATGTCCCATAGTGGAAAAGGGGTTTAAAGTAAGGAAATGCAAACTCAAGTAGCAAAAATAGGATGAACCCATATTCCCCTCTGCTTGTCATTTTTTTCCTCCAGGAAAGTTCTTAAAGCACTTAGTAATACAAAAGGGAATGAAAATCGCATTCTTCCTATCTATGTCATACTGAACAATCTAATGCTCAGGAGAGAGGGGGACATACATATTATTAAAGTTTTCAAATTAGGATGATTAAATTAAAGAAATACCTGCAGCAATGGGAGAACTACCAAATGACAGCAAACAAGCCATTATTAATAAAACAACCCACTTGTAAGGGGAAAAAAAAGTGTATTTTCTTGTTGAACTTAAGTGCGGACAGCAGAAGATCTGAACTACGTCTGAGGTTAAGGACAAGAAGGCATTCTCTAGCAGAAGCTCTTCCTGTGCGCTGCTTAAAGGCAGCGCTAGGCCCAGGAGCTTCTCATAAGCACACAGTAGGCTGATTCTAGAACTGTAGAGTTAATACCTTAGAGACTACATATATATATAGTCATTTGCAGGAGGGAAGCATTATTGCTGGAGGTCTATACTGGACAATCAACTCTGTATTAACTGTGGATTACTACAATCCAGTTTTAATTCCAGAGGAAATCTACCTTTGTGCCTCCTTCATATAGTAGCAATCTCTGAGTGCTGCTTAGTCTATGTTTAGGAGGATGAGGGGGAAATCTATGACAACTCCCATGATGAGTCATTACTACTAATAAATGTAGTAAATCTAGTCCATCTAGTCTAGATGGACTAGAGAGTACCTACCTTTCTAGAAACGTTAATAACAAAATGTGATGCAACGAAATATGTAACAGAGACTATACTACTGTAGGTTGGAAACATGAGCCTCCCACTACTTTCACATTCCGAGTCTACACAGGACTACCAGTGAACACCTTTTCAACTACTACATTAACAATCCCACAAAGCATACATTCAAACAAGAGGCATCTAAAGATTAAAAAAATTACCCACTATATTTTTGTATAAAAATAACCAACATTTTCTAATGTACACAAAGACAAAAGATAAATATTTGTGATACCTTTGTGACATCTGTTAGTCTTCTACTGGCTCAACAGAGTCTCTGAAAAGAGCAGTGTAAATGAGTAAACTCAGACTCTGCTGTCTCCGACGTCTGTGGCCAAGGGTTTGTTAGCCACTCCTTTAACTGCTCAGATTTCTTAATGATGTGGTAAAGATAGAGAAAGCAAAGTCATCAACTCTTCTGATGTCCAGCACTTTAAGGCTCTCAGAGCACCCACAGAAATCTCTGTCTTAATGTCCTAACTCTACAGAAAATAACTGCTGAGTCAACACTTCGGTTAAGAGAAGTCACTTTCAATGCTTTATGGGAAGAATCCAAGGACTTAAGGAAGAAAGAAATGTGCATTCTAGACAGACTCAGCAGGGTCGCTCCAAGAGAGCACACAAACGGGTCACACCCCCCTGCCAACTCTTCCAGGCATGACTGCATCTTCCACCCTCACCAGTACAGGACAACAGTCAGGAAAAGGTGACCAGTGCTGTACGCCCTATCAGTCACATGTTCTGTAAATTACCCTAATCTTGTAGACCAGTTTTACGGATTTTCTTCCCTTTTCTAGTATACAGTTAAACTGTAAAATAAAAAAAAAAAAAAAAAAAAAAAAAAAACCTTCAGCAGAACATTAATGCCATTTGAATAATACTTCACTATACATGTAATTCTTATCAGACCTTATCTTTAAAGTATGTTCCCTGCACGTGAAAAAGACCAACACGTAGCACGCCTTGCTCACCAGCTTCTCAACCTTGGCACTGCTGGCATCTCTAAAAGGTCATTCTTGGTAATAGTCCTGTGCACTGAAGAGCTTTCAACAACATCTCTGGCTGCCACTACCACCTCCTCAATTCCTGTAACAGCCACAGGCTTTGGTAACCAGAATGTGTCTAGATATTGCCAAATGCCCCCTAGAGGACAAAAAGAGACCTTCACTGAGAACTATTGCTCTTAATGTACAAAACCAAGAGGAAAACTGTCAGTCATGCCGATCTGGGTGAAGTCTAGAATACAGACTCTTGTGACCTCCATAAATACTGCTTATGCAAGAACACGATCCTGTTTTAAAGACAAAGCATTTGTCAGGAAGATGGGTTTTTTAAACATACTGATATTTCATTGCATTCGATTCTGTCAATGGGCTCCTAAATTACCTTATATCTCTACGATAACCTTTGGAAAACTAACAGGGTAGAAAAATGTATAAGAAAACAGAATCAAAGGAGGGGGACTGTAAATCAATAATTATTTTTAAAAGGCTTCTCTTATACTAATGATAAACATTACCTTTAAAAAATTATCTAGTATAACATGTTTCTTTGAAAAATATGGGCCTCTGTAACAAGTCTTTCAGTGTTGTATGTAACTGGTAAAATTAACTTTACCAACGTTGGCTAATTATGAAAATGTATGATGAGTTAGGGTATCTGAAGAGAAATGTCGGCACTGCAAGTGGCGGTCCCAAAGTGCTTGGCCTTCCATCATCAGTCTAATATTCTCAGTCAAATGAGGCTTTACCATTACCTACTATGAGGGATATAACTGATAATACATCAAAGTCTTGGGTTCCTGTTAAGAGTCCTTCAGAGAGTTGATGCGTGCACAAATCTTCAGGGCTGGGCCCAGCTTGATGTTCATTGCACTCATGAGATGGTCTTCTTTTAGCAAGAGCAGGGCCTGTCCATCAATCTCTTGTGCCCTGAACTCATCTGCAACATCCTGGCAGCCTGGAATTCCAGGAGAGGAAGGTTAGAGTTACACACAATTAGACGGAGCTCCTAACAGTGACAGTTCTTCTGTCCCTGGGTCTGAGAGCTTGCAACAGAAGCTAATAAACCATTGCCCTGGTAAGCCTGGGCTTCATCCTTGAAGAAGCCAAAACCAAGGAAAGTTTACTTGGAAATCTTGCTTTTAAAAAACACTGCAGAAATAATAACAATAGGTAAGAAAAATCAGTCAATACATTGCATTTCCCATGCAAAAATGATAGGCTTTACACCTTATGGGCTCATATTCCCATAACATAACTTCACATATAGGCAGAGAGGAATAAAATGTTATTTTATAAAATAAAATAATAATCTGGAAATATTTTCTAAAGTGTCAGATTATAAACTTCCATTACCACCCAAACCTTCTTTGAATTCGCATAACTCCAAGTATGTCTAAAATATTTGTATTGCTCCCTCAGAAGAGAACAAACCCCCCAGTATTAACATGTTACAGGACGGCTGACACACACCATACTGTTCAACTCGTAATGTCAACTTCAAAGCTTAACATCACTCAAGTCATTTCTACTCATTTTTTTTCTCTGTTAGCCTGTGTAGGCTGGTCTTGAACTTACCTTGTTTTCCCACATACATGCTAAGGAAAGTGCCTTAGCCCCCATCCGTTTTTTAGAACCCAGAATCCTGAGAATGGCAGGCGAGTGCTCTACCTCTGAACATGTCACCACACCCCTTAGCTCGCTTCACCTTAACTTTTTGGTAAAAATAAAATAAAATAAAACATGCAAAGCAAGCTGTCTCTGAAATCATGAAATCTTACTTGGCAATCTTCTGCCAAGCAAGCAGTGCAAAGCCTCAACCTAAAGTAGGCTCCACTATCTAAACCCAACTATTCTATGGCCTACCAAATACCCAATCATTTCTATCATAGGAAAGAGACCTCTAAGCTCAGTAATGAACTAAGGAGTCCAAAGAGAAGAGAATGCAAAAACATAAAAGCTTCCTCACAAACAGTGAAAGTATAAAGTTAGCTTAAGAACAAGACCTAACAGCTTCACAGCCTTTTTGTATTCAAATCAGTATTCCAAGGTGGAATCACAGAAGCAGATGATTAGAAAAGAAAATGATTAATTTGCACCTTGGAATACAACAGTTTGCTAGGATGATTCTCCTTTCCATTGTCAATGTCATCATCTAGCTTGTAAGATGACAAGGTCTACCCACAGACCAGGAGCACCCCCAAAGCACTACAGTGCAGCAGACATTTACATAAGGATGGGTGAAGAAATGATAACTGGAAACATGTCACCCACTGTGGAGAGCTGTCTGTGGAGTAACGTGCTTCACGCATGTGCTCACTTGAGTGGCCATCATTTTCCTTAGTGCCCCTCACTGGCTGTTATTTCTTCCTTTACTGCATCTTATAGAGCAGCCAGCTTTTCGTTTCTCTATTTTGGTAATTTTTCAGACTTTCAAAAATTTATATTTCAAAGTCCTGTATATAATTTGTATGGCTTTGCCCAAGTACCACACATATAGATGAAACGGGATTACTCACCATAGAAAAGCCCCTTTTTCTTTTCCCAGAAGTAGCTCTCAACAAAACTGACTAATCTTGCATCTAGTTGTGACTTCATCCTTCTTTTATGGAAGAACTAAGGTTCTTCTCTCCAGTCTTATTTATAAGAACCAGGGAAGGAAAGAGAGAAAGAGGATAGGCTTACTTAGATTCAGAAATGAGGAGTAAAAGAGAGGGGACCACAAAAGCTGCACTGGGAAGAGAAACAAAAAGCTCCTGAGAGGAAGCACTCAGCATGCTCTTCTTCCTCTTGACTGAGGTTCCTTTCCAGATGTCAGTTTGTAGGTAGACAGTAAAGGCACTAGCAAAATAATTTTAAAGTGTATTGGGAAACAGCATGATTAAATAGTATGCATTATCATCATTTTTAGATCCCAATTTTCTCAAGCCAACCACAAAAAGTATCATTAGCACAAAAATGAAAAAAATATGAAGTGACTTATAGAAAGGAGACAAGCACACATCTAGAAACTCACTGGGGAAAAACAAGATGTTTTTTTAAGTATTCAAGATTCTCTGAATAAAAGTTCTGTGAGAACTCAATACCCTGACTGACAGCGGCTCACACTGCGAGAGACTGAAGCCGAGCCCTGAGTACATTACACACAGGAGGCAGCCAGGCAGCTTTGCTGCCTCATGACCGAGGAAATAGCTCTAGGTAACACACTGGCCCTGCTCATGTCTCACCTGAATTTTCCAGTGTCCACAATCAATTCTCCCACTTTGAAATCTAAATCAAAACATCCTATGCACAAACTGACCTCACTAAAGTTGCAGGAAAGACACCAAGTGCCACTCAATACTGCTGTATAAACATGTCCCCAAAGACATATACAGAAGCAGTTATACTTTAAAGAAATAATTCCTACTTTACTTTTCTACAGAGAAATCCAATCTATGGATTCACAGATCAGCATAGAATAGTCCTTCTGAAAGGGCAGTTCACTAAAGTACAGAAGATAGCCTGAAATTGGTTAACCAGAAGGGCTCTGTGCCCACAAGTTCATGCTACTTCTCACCCTAACAGTTCTGAGACTGAATCTCCTACCTGGGTGCCTTAACATAGACCCACTAAGCACTTAATAACATGTTAAAACAAAAATAACAGAAACCCAGGAATAAAAATACAGGGGCCCTGACTAGAAGGAAGCTCATCCTATCTGAAAAGAAAATGTAAGAGATCACAAAATGTATACGCTTATTCCTACTATAAGAAAAGCTTGTAAAAATACTCAAGAAAAAGAAACAGCCTGAAGGAGCTCAGAAAGATATTTATAAATACCAGAAAGGCAGAAAGAAAGCGAAACACATTTTCCTGGTATAAGATTTACCCTAAGCTACTCTAAGATAAACTTTTGGAAAAGCAATAACTGACTGCACAAATAGGATTATTGGTTGGTTAAAGCAATTCAGAAATACTACCATTTCATCAGCAAGGAAGGGAGGGAGGGAGGATGGCCTAAATAAAACCAATCAACACTGTCTCTTCTTAATGATATGTAATGATCTTAAATGCAAATGAACTCAGTAAAAGAAGAAGGTCTAGCCGGGTGGTGGTGGGGCATGCCTTTAATCCCAGCACTCAGGAGGCAGAGACAGATGGATCTCTATGAGTTTCAGGCCAATTTGGCCTACAGAGTGAGTTCTAGGACAGCCAGGGCTACACAGTGAAACTCTGTCTCAAAAACACAAAAGGGGGGGTAGGGGAAGCTGAAGCTAGTAGGTAAGTATCAGAGAGCAGGCAGCCATAAGAAGGTCACCCTCAGCATTAGAACGGATGTCACATTTTTACAAAGAAATCAAGTTTGTCCTATTCTACAGTGTTAATTAGCTTTCAAAAATACACGCACAAAAAAATATGGTCTTTCTTGTTTCAGTTTCTAAAAGAATCGTCTGAGGAAACAAAGAGGAAAATGATTAGAAAATAGAGAAGCAGAAGGGGAGAAGTGTCTGATTCACTCTCCTGCCCTCAGAGAAGAGAGCACCTTACCATTCACTGACTGGGCATCAGAGCAACGGCAGGACTAGTCAGTCCGTTTTTTACTCGTTTGGGGGCATGAAGGAGTGCACAGTCATTCTGAGGACAGGTAAGAGAAAGCAGGTCACATTTCAATAGCAAACGCACACACAGTTTCTCTAGCCTTCAATGCCAAAGCTGTGGATGGACGTAACGTCACTTTCTTGTGAAGGCACAAGGAAAAAGCATCCAGGCTAGGGGAGTCACATACCAGGCAAAGAATGGATGAAGGCCCAGACATCATCGACCGTCCATATAGAGGGCTCTGTCTGTGAAACTGGAAGCAAGTCACTGTTCTCAGGCATTTTCCTAATCCTCACATCACGCAGCTCACGTTCTCTTTCCCGCTCACTCTGCCTGCGCAGACGAGTTGTCATGGCAGTAGGCACAGAATCCTCATGAGAAGCCAAGTCTTCTTCTGCAGATGGATAAGTAATTGGAAGCTGGAAAATGCAGTAAAGTAAAATACAGCATTGCACTTTCCTTGCATTTCTGAAAAGGACATTGTACATTGAAGCAAGCTTTCTACAGACCTGCCTAAGGATATGTTCTCTTGCTGTTCCTTCAGGGCCACTTGGACGACGACCCCGATGCCCAAGACTTTGATTATCAGGCTTACGATTCCAACGACTAAGTGCAAATTTTTTAGAACAGCTAACATTGTACCTAAGAAATTCAAGAAAGAAAAATCAAGCAAAATATGGGACAACCAATTTAGAATTTAACTAATTTTAAAGTACAATTGTGACATAGTAAGTACTAGACAATTATTAAGGACTGTAATATCTCACAAAGTACAACTATCTTATTGAATGGATTAACCTACAGGTCAAAAATGGCCTGTTATATTATAAAATATCTCTCAACATAATACTGGACACCTATAACAAGGTAATAGTATTTTCTCTTGATTATAGAAGAATAATAAAAAACCTGCAAAATGCAGAAGATAACTTGCAACATAGCAAGAAAATTCATGGTTCCAGAAGAGATATTTTGTAATAAATATTTCCAAAGCTTATTTAAACTATTTAATACGTAATATATTCGGGGTTTTGCTTTGTCTTTTGCTTTTAATGTATATGCAGGTACTGGAGTACATATGTGTGCAGACATATCTACACATGTGGATATTAGGGTTTGGTTCTCAGCACACAATGAAAGCCCACAACTCCTGAACCCCCAAGTCTAGGGGCTCCAATGCCCTCTTTTGGCTTCTATATCAGGCACACACAAAATGCACATATATTTTTAGAGGCAAAACACACACATATTAATTTTGTTACTGATAACTATTCTAGAATAATATATGTAATTTTGTTTACCTATGTTTTATGAAAATATCAGAGATGAAAGTAAGGAATACTCTGAGAAATAATAGACTATTTGTCCTCTAACGATGCAAATGTCCCTGAGAGCCACTGAAATAACTGAAAAAGTCCTGCTGTGTTCATATGGGTTTATCTGTGGGCTCAGCAAAGTGAAGTTCTGATATAACTAACATATCAGGTGATAGAACTTACTACTGAAGAAAGGAGAGAACTAGTCTTGTGCCTGGCAATTAGTTCTTACAGATTTAGCTCTCTAAGAATGACAGCTAAGCACTTCCCTGACGCTACTCTTCCTCTCTTCCTTGCTCTGTCAGCCAGGCTTCACTATGCTAGGGTCCCTGACAGAAAGAGGTTCATCTGAAGTAGTCATTGTCTGGGAAAGGGAGTAGCAGACAGTGTAGAGTACCCTGAAAGACAGACCATTTCCCAGTCTGTAAGTGGTTCTGACCAGCATTAGAAAGCCACTGTTATTTCATGTGCTTCATGCAAACTGAACTTCAAGTTAGAGCATAAATCCTACACAATCTTATAGACTACTACCAATCATGAATAAACACTTGAGTAATGAACTGAAGCAATGAGTACACTTTTGAAAGAAATTTACTCTTATTATTCTCACTAAAGATAGTTCTTTGACAAGTATACAAAATGGTGTGGTCAAACAAGAAATTCACTGGCTTCTTAAGAGTGTATAAATTTCAAAATAATTAACCTAAGCATACCCTCCAGGTCTTCCAAAAGAGCATCTGATATTCGTAGCTGCTAAGTCATCTCTCCAGGTCCCGTATTAATCTTTATAAACTAGTGTTCTATCTGGTATGGTGGTACATTGCTATGACCTGTATTAATTTTTACAGACTAGGGTTCTATCTGGGATGGTGGTACATGGCTATGATCCCAGCACTTGAGAAGCAGAAACAGGAGGGCCATAGAATGTTGGAGACCAGCCTGGTCTATACAGTCAATTCAGACCAGCCAGGGCTATAATACAAGATCCTACATAAAAATTAATTTCAAAATTAATTAGTAATTAATTAGCTATGATTTTTAAAACCACAAAAATTAACATTCTATCATATACTTACATATGCTATAGGAGAGATTCTCCAAAGCATATCCTTGCACTGATGCTTCATGAGTATTCACTGTGAAACTGCATTATTAGTACATAAATATTTACATAAATAAAAATCTATTTAGTAAATTCTAGTAACGAGACACAGAGTAAGCGGCTGGCTGTTACACAGAGTAACCTTCCCGGTTGTTACCACAGCTAACTCCTACCAAAGCTCATCTATAACCACGTCTTGACTTTTTTTTGCAAAAGTTACTGGTTCTCCTAAACAAATCCAAGAACACCAACATACCTTTTGGCACATGACATAGTACAGAATCGTTTTGACCGTAAAAATTCATTAGGATATCCCATTTTTCCACAGAATTCACACTTGAGCAATTCACTATCCATTTCTTCTAATGTCTCTAAAAAAGAAGGGAAAAGCCAAAAATCTGAGTGATCAAAATTTCTTTCAGCCTCTAATTCTAGTTACACAACATTGTCAGATCAAGATTTCCTCACCTTCTTTGGATCCAGAGCTACTCTGGCTGGGCTCCTACTAATTCCTTGTTTCTACATAAAAATGATGGTTTTTTTTCTATACAATAAATACATCTATACAAATAAGCATAGGCTGGTTTTGCTAAGAAACCAGCACATCTAGAATGTACAAACAACAATGTATGACTCACAAACACCGAGAAGTGAAGGTGAATGCCATATACTCACTGTCCACTAGAAAGGAACATTTTCAAAAGGCAGAATATGACATACGAATTTGGTGCCCTACGCTATGAAGATTTACAGCAGAGAAACCCTTTCAATTCCTATGGAGAGAAGAATGGCTTCAAAACGGAGGAACTTTTGTATGTTTGATTTTAGTAAGACATATAAAATATTTGTTATGTGCAGTGTATGACCAATTTTATAAAGATATATAATGTCAATTTATAAAACAGTTCCTTTTAGTATTAAATAAAATTAATTCTGATTTTAAAATCTCAAACAGTCTCATAATGTTGAATTACTGGTGCATTTTCTAGGGTGCTCCCTGATAAGTAAATGCTAGTCCTAACCCCAACCCCAAACTAAAACCCTCTCCTTTACTATTACCTCTTCCTTCAGGCACAGCACCTAAAGCAAACAGCTCAATCTTCATGACCTTTCCCAAAGAGCTGAAGTAACTATTACATGGATGTTTGCTCCACTTCACAGTTTCCACATAAGGACTAAGAGTACTGGGGCTGAGAGGTGGCTCGGCAGTGAAGAGCACTGGCTTCTCTTGCAGAGGTCTTGAGTTGAATCCCCAGCACCCACATGGTAGCTCCCACTGATCTGTAAGGGGTCTGATGCCCTCTTCTGGTGTGCATGAAGACAGAGCACTCACACACAGAAGTGGGAATATGTTTCATATTGTGATATTAATATGGGATCTTGGGGTGCACAAAAAAGAAAGGTTAAAGTTTAAAAGTGTTTGCACTAACTTACCAAGGGGTCAACTGTACTGTTGTTTTGTTTTGGTTTGGTTTTGGTTTTTTTTTTTTTTTTTTGTCAACTTGACAGAAACTAGAGTCATTTAGGAAGAAGGAACTCAAATGAGGAATCACCTCCAGCAGTTGGCCTGTGGGCAGGTCTTTGGAGCTTTTTTTTTTAAAAAAAAAATAAAAGATTGAGGTAGGCCCACTGTGGGCAGTGCCACTCCTGGTCCTGGATTTTGTACAAATCAGCAAGCTGAGCAAGTCAGTAAGCAGTGTTCCTTCATGGTTTCTGCTTCAGTTCCTGCCTCAGCTTCCTTTGATAATGGGCTGAAATAACCCTTCCCCTGCCAAGCTAGCTTTGGCCAACGTTATCACAGTAGCAGAGAAGCAAATGGTATGTTCCATGAATTTAATAGTTTGCTTATCTTAAAACTGGGTGGTTTTTAAACTGAAATTATACACAAACAAACAAAAAAAAAGCCACAGCCACAAAGTAAATGATGGCACCATTTTACTCTAAATTTTATTGCATGAATACCGGTGTATACAATAAAAATGCCGAAATTATAAAATGGCCTTGGAAAATCAAAACTATGAAAGACTTAAAATGTTAGCTTGTAGAAAAAGACAAGATCTCCTGAGTAAATTGGGAGCATGGGGACCTTGGGAGAGGGTTGAAGAGGGGAGGGGAGAGGCAGGGAGGGGAGCACAGAAAAATGTAGAGCTCAATAAAAATCAATAAAAAAAATATTAGCTTGTTTGTTTTGGTTTGGTTTGGTTTGGTTTGGTTTTTCAAGACAGGGGGGTTTCTTTGGTAGCCTTGGCTGTCCTAGAACTAGATCTGTAGACCAGGCTGGACTTGAACTCACAGAGATCTGCCTGCCTCTGTCTCCCAAGTGCTGGGATTAAAGGAATGTACCATCACCACCTGACAAAATGTTAGCATTATGTAATAGTTCTCTACTCTGAAATATATTAGCCATCTTTAGATTTTCTTCTCCTTCTGTAACATCTTGTCCTGTCTCCCTGTAGTCCTTCCCTTCCTCTCCCTACTTAGACTGCAAGTGTCAGTCATATGTCAGACTTACACCCGACAGAGATGACCAGCACAATGCTGAACCCTTTTCAGTTTATTACAACTGCCACAAAAACTTGAATAAACCCTAGGTCTTCATCCATAAAATCCCCTCAAGCCCGAGGTCTTCACCCAGGGTCCTTCTGGGCCTGGCTCCCCTGTCTGTTCAGTGCTCCTCTGAGTCGATGTGCTCCTACAGCTCCTTATGCTCACATCCTCTGTACATCTGTTCACATCCTGATCAAAACTGGTTTTCCTGCCTGTAATCTTAGATTTAGGCTTGTTCCTTGTCTCGTTTAACACAAAACAGAGATCAAACTCATAAATATAAGAAATTCACCAAGCTGTAAATAACTTTCAGACAGTTCTGTCTTCTTGTTATCCACATCTAATATCTGCTGCTCTGGAACGGAGATCCCCTAGTGGGCAGGAGGGTACGCTTTCATGCCTTCCTGCGCAGCACACTAGCAGTGCTATATGTTGTCCATTATAGTTTATAAACTACAAAATCATGAAACATGTTCTAAAACTTCCCAGAAGTCCATGTTCCTTCTGTATATTCAGCAGGGTTGATATGATAAACACATTTTAGCCCAGACTTTTATTTATATACTTCTTACAGATACAAGCAAAAGAAGAAAAAAGAAAACCTAAACATTCATCTTCGCTACTTTTCATCTAAAATAAGAAATGTCCTCACATATAATCAACTAATTAAAAACATATATTTGAGAATTAAAATAAAATATTAAATTCTAATAATGAAAGTCACCATGGTGACCTTGTTTGGATCCTGATGTTCATCAGATGACTGTGAAAGAACATGCTCAGATAACTAAGAAAATCTGAATATGGATCAGGTATTACACCAAAAAATTATTAATTTGTTTAATTATGTAAGAAAATATCTGCTTTTAAGAGATACACACTGTATCAGTGAAATAAAATGACTACAACTTTCATAAAGAGGGAGGAAAGGATGGAGAAGTAGGAAAGAAAGGCAGCAAAGGGAAGTTTGGGAGAGAAGAAAGCAAAAAGGTGCATGGCATGAGACCATTCACAGCAATGGACCTGGGTACAGGGGAAAGTGCACAGCTCTTTCTAACTGAATGCTTAGAGCACTTCATGGTTAGGAATCTTCCACATCAGAAAAAAAAAATCAAACTGAGCTCAAAATAACCAAACATTAGTAAAAGTCATATGTTATATTATTACAGGCTTGGTGGTTCAAATAAGAAGTAAAAATGTTGACTATTTCACAACAGCTTATAAAACACCACCAGCGGCAGGTGCTACCCTCTAAGAGTCTGAAGGATGACAGTTTAACTTACCAACATGTCACTTTGGTAAATTTAACATTGTGTAAAAACACACAATAAAGTAACATAAATGAAATGAGTATTTGCAAAAGAATAAATTAATTTTAGAGACTCGAAGGATAATTATGAAGACAAAGATGTTAATGAGTTCACCATTGTAAGTCCCTGACTAAACACTTCAGACTGAATGACATCAACTGAAGGGCCATGATCAAATGATAAGAACAATCTCTTATGAAGACTCCTACACAATACAGCTAGGTTGTTTTGTTTCATTGTTTATTTTTTTAAGCACACATTCAGAATCTCATTTTTAAAAAAAGTACAAGCTTTGCTAACTATAAATAGGTAACCTAGAAGGCACAGAACATCAGTTTTGTGTTTACCTGTGTGAGCTTTCCCTCAATCATTTTTATCAATTTGACTTCTAAGGGATATTTGGTATTAGAGTATAGTCAGTTGAAAAGGAGCTAGGGCAGTAAGGAGATTAACAGTATTTTTTTTTCTTAGAACAAATGTTATCATCTATTGGCTGAAGAGAACATCCTGAATGTAACTGTAATACCCAGCTTATAACACCCATCACAAGAATAAATCTAAAACAACACACCTAAATGCTTTATATTTTGAAGCAAATTCAGTAAAACATTCATTTGTTACTTATTAGGTCTGCTTTTTAAAAGCAAGAACTGATTGTTTCAAATTGTTTTCCCTCACTAGAAATCTAACACTGTATAAATCAGCACCAATATTACTGCTGTCCTAGTTACTGAGTTACCAGAGTGGTCAGTGCACCCATTATTCTGGTTAGAGTGTTCACATACTCGCTGTATGTAAGCAAAACTGAATTCTTTCCAAGTGAAAACCTATGCAGAATAAAAGTTTATCCTATTTTTCAGCAATGAAAGTCAAAGTTAAAGAAAAGATTCGATGAGCGCCACAAACCTTCAGCAATCATGTCCTCCATCTCGGTGTCAGACGAATTATCTGCATGCTTTGTATTATTCTGTAGTTCTGGCTGAACACACACAGAATTCACCACCTGATTATCCAAAAGAGGCCTCTTTTTCACAGGTTGGTCTATCAGCAAAGATGAGCGACTCACCTTTAAATGGAAAAGAAATGATCTCTAAAAATTAATCAGAAATAAATGAGTCTAATTTTTAAAATGACCCCTCTGAAAGAATGGTAGTTGTGATATTTACTTACTCAATCATCAAATCCAATAATTAAGGGCAAAGGTTCTATACATATGCACTACTGCTAGCCAGCAGCAGAATACACACTGCAATCATATACAATGCACTGGTACATTAGGCAAGTAGATTTTTTTTAAAGTCTTAAAAATTTAGTGATTCCTTACATATGTAATATTGAAAACAGAAGCAATCAAATTATCATGCACAATAAGAAAGCATTGAAAGGGAAGCAGTTGCTGCTTGAATTGATTTATTTTGCAGTTCTGGGGACTGAATCCAAGGTCTTACACTAACTATACCCTCATCTGTTTCTTTAGAATGTTTTATTGTTGTTGCTGTTGTTTATGTGCATTGGTGTTTTGCCATGGGTGTTGCGTGCCCTGGAACTGAAGTTACAGACAGTTGTAAACTGCTATGTGGGTGCCTGGAATTGAACATGGGTCCTCTGAAACAGCAGTCGGGCTCTTAACCCCTGAGCCATCTCTCCAGCCCTTCTTTAGAATGCTTTGAAGATAGCCTCTCACTATGTAGCTCCTCTAGTCTCAGCCTCTGTCCAGTGCTGGGATTATAGTCCTATGTAATGCCATGTCCAGCTTCACTTTTCATGGTACTGTTCAGTTCAGCAACCATCTCTTTTTCCCAAAGCTTGAACACACAAGACTAGCTCTCTAACACAAGTCTGTATGCATCTGCAAACATTTCATGATCTGGTGATGAAGACTGGGGAACAGTCATGGGTGTGTTCATCCTTGCACAGGGGATGCCTTTTCCCCAGTTCACACTGCCCAGAATATGTGTTGTGTCATTTACTTTGAGAGGGAATCTTGCTCACACTGAACTTGAACTCTAACATCAACAGCCTAAGTAACTGAGGTTACAAACCTGTGCCACGAGACCCAACTTATCATTATTAGCTCGCACATGGGGGGAGGGGTGATAAGGATGTACCACAGTACATATGTGGACAGAAGAGAACAAATTTATGGGGTTAAGTATGCTCTTTCTACCTCTTTGTGGGTCAGACTGCCCAGTTAGCATGGAAATGGCTTTTACCTGCTCACCATCTTGTTGGTGGCTTTTAAAAATACAGAAACACCGAATAGACTGGATCAGAAAACAAATTCCCTTTGGCACATAAAAATCACTAAATACACAGAAAAGAGAAAGTATTAGAAGCTGCAAAAGAAAAGACCAAGTAACATATAAAGGGAGACCTATCAGAAAAACAGCTGGTTTCTAAATGGAGACTCTTAGAGCCAGAAGGGCCTGGACAGAAGTTCTACTCACTCTAAGAGACTATGGATGGCCAGCCCAAACTACTATATCGACTAAAACTTTCAATCTCCATAGATGAAAAGAGTAAGACATTCTATGATAAAACCAAATTTAATAATTATCAAGGGGATACAAATTGGAAAGGAAGAAGTCAAAATATCTTTATTTTCAGATAATATGATAGCATACATAAGTGACCCTAAAAATTCCACCAGGGAACTCCCTACAGGTGATAAACACTCTCAGCAAAGTAATTGGATATAAAATTAACTCAAAAATCAGTAGCCCTTCTAAATACAACTGACAAATGGACTGAGAAAGAAACCCAGGAAACAACACCTTTTACAATAGCCACAAATAATATAAAGTATCTTGGGGTAACTCTAACCAAGCAAGTAAAAGACTTGTATGATAAAAACTTCAAGTCTTTGAAAAAAAAATTGAAGAAGATGTCAGAAGATGGAAAGATCTCCCATGCTCATTACTACCAAAAGTAATCTACAGATTTAATGCAATCCCCATAAAAACTCCAACACAATTCTTCACATATCTTGAAAAGAAATTTTCAGCTTCATACGGAAACACAAAAAAAAAAAATCGGATAGGCAAAACGATCCTGACTAGTAATAGAACTTCTGGAGGTCTCATCTTCCCTGACCACAGATTGTACTGTAAACTACGGGAATGAAAACAGCATGGCATTGGCATAAAAACAGACATGTCTGTTAATGGAATCAAATTGAAGATCCAGAGAATCCACAAACCTTATCCACACACCTATAGACATCTGATTTTTTTTTTAAGACGCCAGAAAAACACACTGGAAAAAAGACAGCATCTTCAACAAATGGTGTTAGTCAAATTAGATGGTTGAATGTAGAAGAATCCAAATAGATCCATACTTATCACCATGTACAAAACTCAAGTCCAAATGGACCAGGCTCAACATAAAGCTGCATACACTGAATCTCATAGAGAAAGTGGGGAACCGCCTTGAATTCACTGTCACAAAATACTTTCTGAACAAAACACCATTAGCACAGACACTAAGATCAACAACTAATAAATGGGACCTGATGAAACTCAGAAGCTTCTGCACAGCAAATAATACTATCAATAGAACAAAGCAGCAGACTACATACAGAATGGGAAAAGATTTTTACCAACTACATATCCAATAGAGGACTAATATCCAAAATATAGAAAGAACTCAAAAAACTAGGTATCAAGAAAACAACCCAATTTGAAAATGGGTACAGATCTACAGTCCTCAGTCATAATCAGAGAAGCTTCCTTCTTCAGCAATGAGACTAAATATAGAAACCCACAGTCAGACAGAGAGGGACCTCAGAATACTCAGCCCTAAATGGAATGTCTCCATCAAATCCCTCCCTTCAGAGTTTAGGGAGCCCTGTGGAAAAGGAAGCAGAAAAAGTGTAAGAGCCAGAGGAACTGAGGCCACCAAGAAAACAAGCTCTCTAAATCAACATGATTAAGGGTCACATAAACCACAGAGCCTGAGGCAGCAAACAAGCACCTTCACAGGTCTGTACCAGGTTCTCTGCAAGTTATTTTATGGCCTTCAATTTAGTGTTTTTATGGGATTCCTGAGTTTGCAAATGAGCAGGTCTCTGACTCCTGAACCTTCTCTTGGGCTTTTTTCCTTCTGTTCTTTGGTCCTGTTCAACTCTGAAGTGATAGTTTTGCTGTATTTTATTTATTGTCCCTTAGAAGCCTGTTTCTTTTTCTAGTGAGAGACAGAACGGGAGTTGATCCAGATGGGAGAGGAGGTAGGGAGGAACTGGGAGGAGCAGATGGAGGGGAACCATAATCAGGATATATTATGTGAGAAAAATAAATCAAATTTCAATAAAAGAAAAAAATGGGGACAGATCTTAACAGAATTCTCAAAAGAGGAAGTCTAAATGGCTGAGAAGCACTTAAAGAAATGCTCAACATCCTTAGTCATCAGGGAAATGTAAATCAAAACTACTTAGAGATTTCATCTTACACCTATCAGAATGGCTAAGATCAATAAAACAAATGACAACTCATGCTGATAAGGATGTGGAGTAAGGTGAGCAATCATTCATTGTACAATCACTATGGAAATCATGTGGCAACTCCTCAGGAAGATGTGAGCTGCTTTACTCATGATCCAGCTACACCACTTGAGCATATAGTCAAAGGATGCTCCATCCTACCACAAAGACACTTACTCAACCAGGGTCACTGCTACTTTATTCATAATAGTCAGGAACTGAAAACAACCTAGATGTCCCCCAAAAGATGAATGTATAAATAAAATGTACATTTATTTACACAATGGTATATCACTTAGCCGTTTAAAAAAAAGACATCATGTAAATGAACGGAACTGGAAAAATATCCTGAGTGAGGTAACCCTGACACAGAAAGACAAATATGGTATGTATTCATTTGTATGTGGGTACTAGCTGATAAGCAAGCTACAATTCATAAAATCACAGAGGTTAGGTGAGTAAGGGACTAGGGGAGGGAGGATAGGAAATAAAATAAATAGTTATGGATGTATGGAGCAGAAGATTCGAATGGGAAAATCAAGTGGGGAGGTAGAGGAAGAGGGGTACAATGGAGGGAACATGAGGAAAGACGGCTAAAATTTGAGGGATAGTGGTGTAGGAGATCCTTCTGTTTATGTGTTGTTTTCATTGCCTTGGCCTTTTGATAGGGCAGAACTTAGGTAGGCGGGGGGGGGGGGGGACAGAACTGAATGCTGGGAGGAAGAAGGGTAAAGTCAGAGAAGCCATGGATCCTCTGCCTCAGACAGACACTGTTTAGAATCTTGCCGGTAAGCCTCAGCCACGTGGCGATACACAGATTAATAGAAATGGGTTAAATTAAGATATAGAAATGGGTTAAATTAAGATGTAAGAATTAGCCAATAACAAACTAGAGCTAATGGGCCATGCAGTGTTTTAATTAATACAATTTCTGTGTGGTTGTTTTGGGTGTAAACTAGCTGGGCGGCCAGGACAGGAGGAGGAGGCCCTCCTCCTACAGGATAGTAAGAAATACAGTAGAAGCCTCCTAAAATATATACATACTTGAGGGTGATCTAAAAGAAATCACCAAATAACAAGTAAACAGAGCCCCAACTTGTCACCAAATGAAGCTTCCAGTGCTTCCAGTACTGGGGTTAGGTTTCATCTACTTGAATTGTTGGCCAAAGTTGTCCCATGGGAATCTCAAACAACCAGGCTGCTGCCAAGACTACAGGCTGCTCTCTACAAACAGCAAGGCCCCAATGCTGAAGACAGCACCTACACAGCTCACTGAACATGAAGAAGTTGAGCTTGTGTCTACACAGAGCCTTCAGCCCCATGGTCTAGCATATTTGGTACAGGAGGGTGGGTACTCTGCGTGATATCAAAGGAGAAACATAAATACCAACCTAGCCACAAACCCTATGATCTACAATGATATTCTGCCGGCAAGATATGCAAGTGCAATAGTGCCATAAATCTTACGGGAGTAACCACTATCTGATCTGACTTAAGGCCCACTCCATGATATGGACCCCATACCCAACTGCTTGGGTGACCAAGAACCAAAGACTAGAAAGCCTAGGAACCTACAGCAAAACCAAATACTACTGTCCTACTTAAAATAATAATAATAATAAAATGACTCCTGATGACATTCTGCTATCCTCATAGATCAGTGCCTTGCTCAGCCACCACTGGAGAAGTTTCCTCCTGCAGCAGATAGGAACAAACACAGGGACCTGCAGTCAGACAATTCGCTGAGAATGAGAATCCTTGTAACATTCAAACACTAAACAAGGCTCTCCATCAAATCCTCCTCAGGGCTCAGGAAACCCACAGAAGAGGAGACAGAAAGAGTATAAGCTAGAAGGGATGGAGGACAGGAAATCAAGAAAGCAAGGCCCTCCAAATCAACAGGATCAATGCCTGTAAAGACTCAGAGACTGTAGCAGCATGCACGGGACCTACATGGGCCTGTACCAAATGGGGTCCTAGAGGTAAAAGGAGAAGTGAACACATGCACTCATCCCTAACCTAGAAGCAAGCTCTAATAACCACTTGCAAATAAAAGTTTAGTTTTCTCCAAGGGAGTCTCCCTGCAGAAACAAACTACTCGAGAACAGTCTGCATGTAGGCTGCAGGTCAACAGAAAACACGTCCAATAGGCATTACTGGAGGTTCCTTGTCTTAGAGTATAATATCAGGGCTTACTTTTTAATTATCTTATTTTTTATTTTTATTTTATTTATGGATATTTTTTCTGTGTCTTTGTACCCTACAAATCTTTTGCATATATATAAATGGCTTCCAGTTTAGTGTTTTAATGTAATTCTTGAATGTCCAAACAAGTGGGCTTCTGTGTCAAACGTTTCATGTGTCTTTTCTTGGTCTCTTTCCTTCTGTTTCTTTTTTCTTTTTCCTCTTCTGATGTATTAGTTTTTGTCTTATCTGATCATATTTTATTATTATCCAATACAAGCCTGTTTGTTTTCTAATGAGAGACAGAAAGGGGGATAGATCTAGATGGGATGGGAGTTCAAAGGGACAGAGAAGTAAAGGGAGGGAAAACATAATTAGGATATTTTATGTGAAAATAAAAACTACTTGTTTTATTTTGTTTTTTGAGACAAGGTTTCTCTGTGTAGCCCTGGCTGTCCTGGAACTCACTCTGTAGACCAGGATGGCCTCAAACTGAGATCTGCCTGCCTCTGCCTCCCGAGTGCTGGATTAAAGGTGTTCACTACCACCGCACGGCAAAAGTTACTTTCAATAAAAGGGGAAAAAAATCTGATTAAGCATGTTTTCAAGTTCTTCCTTCAGAATAATAATAATAAATGCAACACACACAAAGATGAACATTTTAAATGCTAGAGATGAAAGCCACAGCCACATACATGCTAAGCAAGACTGTACCAAAGACTTATACCCTTATATATTCATACTTTATATATTTTATAGATAAGGATGCTTATGTTCAAAGAGTTTAAATTACTTCTTTTTAACTTATTTCTGGTTTTTCGAGACAGAGTTTCTCTGTGTAGCAGTCCTAGATGTCCTGGAACTCATACTGTAGACCAAGCTGACACCAAACTTACAGAGATCCACCTGCCTCTGCCTCCTGAGTGCTGGGATTAAAGGGTAAACCACTACCGCCTGGCTAGATTACTTCTTTACAAAGCACTTCAAGACTAGCACTTAAGTCTTCAGCAAGCTAATCACTGTAATTATAGGACAAACAAGCTCCCCAAACACTGAGATGCTAACATCAACAACAAATAGTCATTGTGTTCAGCATCGTGAATCCTTATTTTAGAAATATTTTCAGGAAAATTTTAAGCCAAGAAAATGTACTGATTCTTTAGTCAAGTCCTCAGCTAACCTGGAAAGAATGCTGGTTGTAGAACGGGAGGGAACCGTGGCTTATTGGAAATTTCTATAGGGGCTGGAGAGATCTTCAGTAGTTAAGTACCCTAGTTGCTTTTTCCAAAGGACCCTGGTTTGATTCCCAGCACCCATATGATGACTCACAGACACCTGTAATTCCAGTTTCAAGGGTCTTACACCCTCTTCTACTTTCCAAGGGCCATAAGCACACATGTGGTGCACAACCATATATGCCGACAAAACACCATACCCATAAAATAATTTTTAAAAAAAACTATTAAAGTAGAATCAAAATTTTGTAATTAAAACATCTGTACTTATTTCAGTAACTTAATATGCCTCAAGCAAAATTTATAAAAGTAATTCTATTAAGCATGCTTATAGCAGATAAGGAAACAAACTTTCCATAAAATAATGTTTCAAAATACTACTACTTTTAGGAATTTACGCTATAAAAACTATTTAAAATCTGGATAACTTACATAAAAACGAATAATATCTTTCTCCCCACCCCACGTGAACAAGCATCTCAAACATGCTAAAAATGTATCCTACCACTAAGTTGTATCTTAGACTATTTAAACAGTGATAAGATGAAAACAGTGTTTGAGAGGATTTTGTATATTATGGTTGTACATAAGGTAGATTATGTCACATTTCAAAATGTGCAAAAATGTTATTAATGATAAATGCTCACTTATGAAGTAAAAGAATTGTATGCATAATAACAATCTTGATTATGTGAATACACATGCAGTGATATTATTATTTGTTCTAGATAGTTCAAGTTTTAAAGCATGAATTACTTTTATAACATGAAAAAGTTAAGCTGCAATTGTCACTACAATGATAATAATAAGTAATAGCTATGGTTAGTAAATGCCAGGAACAGCAAAGAATAATGCTAGCATATTTAATTCTAACACCCAAAGAGCATCTCCATCAGGCAGATAAGCAAAATTAAGATCAAAAATGGTTAATACAAAATGTCTCAGAACCTATATAGAAAAATACATAAAATATTAGAGAGTAAAATTCTTTAAAATACTCAAAAAATCAACCTTTAAAATAAGATTATAAGTATTTTCTTAGAGAACAACAGCAGACGATTTTTTAAGATAGTGTTATATGGTTAAAAATAACTTCTAAAACACAAAAAACTTTCTACTTACAGGAAATGGCTCCAATCCCTCCTGAATCACAAAACCTTCAATAACATGAGTCAAGATCTGTGGTTTGACAATAGCCTGTGGAGGTTTGTTTTCTAGGTTGGGAGCGCTGCTGGCCATAGATGTGCTATTGCCCCTCGTGGCAGCAGCTGGAATTAAGAGTGGTGGTGGAGGAACAGAGCCATGGGCAGGATCTGATGGAGACTTAATCACTGAAGCACTGACTGAGGCCACAGCAGGCAACTCCACTTGCTCTGAAAGAAAAGGGATGGACCTTTAGCCACCTGCCCTGCAGAGATGGAAGCTCACTCAGATCTGCTGTTTTCCAAGAGCATTATGCTTACTGTATAATTTCATCTGCACAATACCCACAGAAGGAATAAGCTAATTCCCCTTTCTATAGATGTACACTAACATGCTCAAAATTATCATCTAAACCATTTTTATTATCCCCATAAAACATGAAAATGTCGTAAATATCATTTTCAAAGTAATTTCAAAAATGATCAGTTGAATTTGCCTGCTTTTAAGTTATACAGGTAATAAATACCTTACATTCTCTCTAGTCCACATGATACCTAGATAATCATTTGAAAAATTAAAAAGGATGGAGAACCCCCTAAGTAAGTAGGAATTCCAGTGATTGAGCAGGTCATAGACTGTAACTCCAAAGCTGGGAGGTCCTCCAAATCTCTCAAACACGTTTTGCTTTCAACCTAGCATTGCTGTATGGGCTGATGGGAAATGTTGGGGCACTTAGCAGCCCATAGGAAGGGTCAGCTGACAATCCAATGGGTGAAGAGTTACTGCCGCCAGCAGCACCGGCCCTTGACTGTCAGTACTACAGCAGAGAGAAGTTTCTGTCTAGACATAATAGTGAGAAAAAATGTCTGAAGAAAACACAGATGTGTGCAAAGACCCTCACTGAGCACTTAGGCGGCTTTCAATGCTTTCATGCTGTACCTCAATTCATCCACAAGTAGCTTATGGGTGATCAATGTAATCAACTCCATCTTACAAATAAGGAAACCAAGATACAGAAAGATTAACTTACTTGCCTTAATGTCATACAACAAACAGGCAAGGAAACTGGGGCACTGTCCCAGACAGTATGATGCTAGAGCACATGTTAACTCTTCCCAACCAAGTGGTGGTGGCGCACACCTTTAATCCCAGCACTCAGGAGGCAGAGGCAGGCGGATCTCTGTTAGATGGAGGCCAGCCTGGTCTACAGAGTGAGTTCCAGGACAGCCACAGCTACACAGTGAAACCCTATCTCAAAAAACAAGGACTGATACCACTACCAGTTAATGATGCTAAAAATATAGTTGACTTAGATAGAAGAGAAAAAAAATAGGTTCTTTAAAAAACAGAAAACTCAACTGATGAAGCAGGGACTGGGGTTATAGATCACTGGAAAATGCATAAGTAGGAAGCAAAAGAATAAACCCCCTATACCACAAAATATATATTAAAATTCAAAATAAAAAATGGAAACACAAAGACCTTAGTAAGACCAATCTAATTAATATCCTGTAGGTTTCATCAACACTATTATAGCAATAATAAAGTAATGTATTTTCACAAAGATAAAATATTGAAACTTGTTTAATGCCATATAATTGACCAGGCATGATAGTGCACGCCTTTAATTCCAGCACTTATGAATCAGAGACAGGCAAGATCTCACTCTCTCTGAGAGTCCTAGGCCAGTGAGGGCTACAGAGTGAGACAGTATATCAAAAACAACCAACCCCCCCCAGCACAAAATAAACCCAAAGCTACAGAAGCTATTTTTAACAAGAAAAAGAGGGAAAGAAAGGCAAAGAAGGAGAGGGGGGAGGGAGAAGGAAGGAGGGATGGGGAGATAGGAAAAGGAAGAAGGAAGGGGCAAGAAAAGCAAAGCATTCATAGATTGGTGACTTGCGAATGTCTGTGAATACATGCACGACTATCCACATGTATTATCAAGCAGAAACACTACAATATCCCTACCCATGTGTTCAATCATCACAAATACTTCTGTGGGACAAAAGACAAAAAAACACTATTAGGTATGGCTGAAAGTTATTTTTCTATAGAAAAAAAATCTATGGGGAACTAAAATAAAATAAAATTCGAAATAACTCTTACCAATTTAAAGACTTTTTTGCTCAATAAATATAAAACTACATGTTACGGTTTAAATGGACATTCCAAAATTCCTGTGTTAGGAACTTAATCCTCAACAGCAGTGTGAAGAAGTAGAACTTTATAAGAGTGTGATCAGGACCTCATTTCCATCGTGGAGGAACTGTCTAGGATGCCCACGTTCCCAGTGATGCTCAGCAGGAAGATCCTTCCCAGGTGTAGCACCTTTACAGTCCCCACACTTCAGAAACACAAGCCAATGGTTCCTGTCAGGTAGCCTAGGCTGGTTTCAAACTCCACATCTTCCCTCATCAGTCTCCTAAATGCTGATGCTATAGGCATTTTCACCATATCCAGATCAAACGCACAAAATGGACAAACACATTGCATTAAGTAGAGTTTTTCCAGAAAATACTGCTCAGTGATAATCTGATAAAATTTTTTGGTTTTTTGAGACAGGGTTTCTCTGTGGCTTTGGAGCCTGTCCTGGCACTAGCTCTTGTAGACCAGGCTGGCCTCGAACTCACAGAGATCCACCTGCCTCCGCCTCCCAAGTGCTGGGATTAAAGGCGTGCGCCACCACCGCCTGGCTGAATTAATCTTTAGATCATGAGTAAAGTCCTCTAAAGTTGTGTTTATATATATATAAAAACCTGACACCGAGTATTTGCCAATTCACAAGAAGCTGTTAGAAATGTTAGAAAGCAAAGTATGAGTCACACCGGCTACTTACAACAGGGCAGAAACACTACTACTGCTCTGCCCTCTAGGCAGCTCTATGACTTTGGAATAGGTTGCTGAATTTATTTACAGATACACACTGGGCTGTGAATTTGTCCTTCCTTTTTTACATGGAAACTTTTAAAGCCTTTAACCACTGAACCATCTTTCTACTCCCAAACAAGTCTATTTTTACAAGTTCCTTAGTTCCATCATTTGACAGGTTATTCTAAATATCACTGTCTTACTCCCCTTCCACATACCACAGAGGAATGAAGTAAATCACAAGACTGACATGTCTACACCATATCTGGCAACAGCCAGAAAGACGGGCTTGGAAGGGTCTCAGACAATACATGAGGGAAAAATCATGAAGACCACTGTGTTCCAACATTTCACATTTGGTGTTAGCAGTAAGAGCCATATTTAATTTGCAATAAAAGCATAAGTACAGTCAAGTAAGCTGATATTTCTACTTTTGAATCAAAACTTCAGGATATCTGCTGCAACAAATGCTTTCAGAGTAAAGAAGCTTTACATACTGGCTGAAAATGTAGGTTAAGAGCACAGCTTGCTAGCATGCCTAAGACCCTGATTTTATCCTCAGCACCACCAAAAAGTAAAAAGTTTAAAAAAAAAAGTTAAAACAGGCATCATGGTGCACACCTTTTCTAATCCTAGCACTCTGGAGATATGAAGCAGGTAGGATCTCTGTGAATTCAAGGCCGGCCTTGGCTACATATAAAGTCCTTGGCCAGTCAAGACCCTGTCTTTTGTGTGTGTGGGGGGGAAGTATTTAAAAACAACAGAAAATAAAAATACCTGAGACTGCTGACAGGTATCCTGTGTAGCCCAAGCTAGCTTCAGACAACCGGTTAGCCTTGAACTCATGATCCTCCTACCTCAGCCTCCTAAGTACTAAGAGTACAAGTGTGCACCACCACACCTAGAATCATGGTTAGGAGGTTTTTAAAATGTTACTCTCAGAGTTGCCTGCCTCTGACTCATGAATTAGAGGCGTGAGCTACCATGCCCAGCATATTTTCTGTTTTCAAGAGAGAAAAGAGAAGAAAGCTGATTTCCCTCTTCTCTCCTTCCTGGATATTCACTTTAGGGAATAAAGTTCAGAGAAGGGAGCAAAACAGATGGTCAGAGAAAAGGAAGGCAAGTGCTACTTTGTATCAGACCTCCTCAGGCCCCCACAGTTTGCTTCCACGCCTAGGACAGTGTTTTTTCTTAATTTAAAACAATCATGAGGACCATGAAATCATCAAAACACAGAACAGTTTAAACTAAGCCTGAGTCAATATTGGTATTACTTAAATAAGAACTTAAGTACCATGTATGTTAAAGAAACCGTTAAAGCACTTAATCAGATTATAACTTCAGAATGCTTTTAATTTTGAAAAGTGCAAGTGTGTGTGTGTGTGTGTGTGTGTGTGTGCGCGTGCACACCCACGTGCAATTGTGTATGCAAAGCACATACATGAAGCATGTGTGAAGATCAGAGGACAACCTTGGATGTTGATTTTTAGACAGGGTCTATTTTATTGTTTGCCGATACATACACCAGGCTAGCCAGCCCACAGGTTTCTAGACATTCCCTTTTCTCCACCTCTCATCTAACTGTAGAACACTGGGATTATAGGTGTCCACCATTGTGCCTGGCTTTATGTGGACTCTGGGGATTTGAACTCAGGTCCTCATGATTGAACAGCAAGTACTTTATCCACTAAGTCATCTCCCTAGTCCCCTATTCTAATTTTTAAGCTAGAAATACCTAACACAGGAATGTGAATAAGCACATGAAACATACCTGTATAAGCCACTAATAAGTACAATGCTTGAAACGCCATGTTTTTCGTTCCGGTGGTGCTAAATATTTTATAAGTCAATAACTTTCCACTGCTATTAAAGAGTTTCCCAAGAAAACAAGTAAATCTTATTTATTTTTAATAAAACAATGCTCTTCATACATTTTAAACTTTAAAGATAATCTATCTTTTGCTACAGTTAACAGTAATATCAGTTTAATGTCATCTCCAATGAAAAGAACATTTCCTACTACTGCCGTCTATCAAAAAGAATCTCCCCCTATATTTTGTTTCCTCACCTAACAAAGGATGTTCAGATGTCAAGTCCTCTCCTCGCCCCACAGTTATGGCTGCTGGAGACAAGGTGGGTGGTGGTGGTGTTCTATCCATCCTCGCACACTCATCTGACTCCTCTGGCATTTCTTCCTCACACACATCTTCTACTTGATAAACCTGCAATGACAAGTCATACTGCCTTCAAATATTTTCAAAACTACATCTAGTGTGGTATTTTAATTTAAAAAAATTAATTCTAAATATATTAAACTAAAAACAGGGCAGACGGCTATACTGCCAAGCTGAAAGGAAAACTCTGAAATCACTCACAAAAGTGTTTATACTACTTAGCAGCGCACCACTGAAAGCACACTGTGGGCCAGTTACGTGACCCCAGAACCACTGGGCTTTCCAAATGATAATGACCATAGCTGAACATGTTTTCAAGGATTAAAAAAACAGGGTTTTGGTTTTATACAATCAAATAACTATTTTTAAAACACCATTGCTTCTACTAATTTTAACCTATCATGAATCAAAAGAGGGGCCAGTACTTTTATAGACACTCTAAGTAAACTTCCAAAATAATATATGCCAGGGCAATATAATGCCAAAAATTATATGTAAGATTACTCATTGTTAATAAAAACTGAATTAGGAAAATTATTGTATATGAAACTACAGAAAAGTCAGCAATCATATTTTCATTCCCTTTCTGTTCTACACAAGAATCAAATGAATTCTTATGAGTTAGTACAATACACACCGAACATTATCTTTCTTTAAAACCGAACACACAACCTAAGCTATGTGGTTCTACGTCTCGGTTCCCACGAAGAGGGTTTAGTGCTTTTAATGCAACTGTGATGGTTTTACTGAAAGACTTTGACATCAAAATCACAGAGGAAACAGGGCAGTGGTGGCGCGCACATTTAATCCCAGAATTTGGGAGACAGAAGCAGGCTGATCTCTGTGAGTTTGAGGTCAGCCTGGTCTACAGAATAAGTCCCAGGACAGCCACGGCTACACAGAGAAACCCTGTCTTGAAAAAAAATATCACAGAGGAGAAACCATGTAACTAGAGCTAAATTACTCAACTAAGGTTTTATTAAACTTAAGGATTAATTTTCAAAGAGTCTCTAGAAATTAACTGATGTACTTTGATTGGTTGCTATTTATGAAAGATAATCTACTAACACAAAGATGTAAGACAGTTCATTTCCATTCGTGTGGCAAAGCTTCCGCTTAAATTTACAAAGATTGAGGTTTTTTTTTAAGATTTCTTAACTAATTAACATTGAAATAAATCTTAACAGTAAAAAAAAACTTGTAAACATTCACAAAGTTAACTTTAAGTGACATCCATTTTAGTTAAACTGTTGGAAAAAATGATAATTTGAGGTGTCTAGAATTTAATATGAAAATAATTAAGATTTTTGAATCTGGCATAAACCATGTAAAATACTATAAAGTTTTATTTATGAAGATGTGCATAACCACAAGTAATACTGATTTAATAAAAACCAAACAAATTATAAAAAACAGAAACAAAACTCAAAGCATCTACTTAGAATAAAACACCTATCTAGGTGATACAACCCTGCAATCCTAGCATTTAGAAAGGTAAGACAGAATACTGAGTTCAAGACCAGCCTGAGTGCATAGCAAGAGCCCATCTAAACAACAGGAAAAAAGGATTAAACATGACTTTTGCTTAAAAAATAAATAAATAAAATTTCTGAAGGTGGTAGTGGTGCACGTTCTTAGTCCCAGTATTCAGGAGACAGAGGCAAGCAAATATCTGAGTCCAAAGCCAGCCTGGTCTACAGAGTGAGTTCAGTGACAGACAAGCTACACAGAGAAACCCTGTCTCAAAAAACCAAAAAAACAAAAACCTAAAATTCCACTGGAGTTATTTTATATTTAACATGATATCCTAAACTATGATCCTAATTAGGCACTAAGTAGGCAATATTTTTTAAAAGATATCTTTTCGCAACCCAGAAACAGAAAACTGCTTCACCGAAAGCCTCAGCCACAATGGAATCAAGCCAACTGTTACTGTACACTACACAACTGTTACTGTACACTACACAACTGTTACTGTACACTACACAACTGTTACTGTACACTACACAACTGGCAGCCACTACTCTGCTCATGCTAACAGCAAGGTTTAGTATACACTAAGTAATATACAAACAATATAGAATAATACTCAGCATGGAATACATCACTACCAACATGTTAACAAACGACAATAACAAAAATAAAATAAAGTTTGTGGCACCTACAACCTAGAAGGTGCGGAGTTCGTTCAGAGGAGCGGCTGGAGAGCTGGCTGAGGGCAGCCATGCAGAGTGGCTTCTTAGCCAGTTCAGTCCATGGCACTCTTTCCTTCACAAACAGGTCTTTCAAAGAAGGCCATAGCCAAGCTGCTAACCCTCTCCCTCACTGCTGGGCCACCTGCTGTTGCAGCATCTGCTTACACTATCTTTTTAAAAAAACAGAGCTCGACTGTGCACAAAATTCTGACTTTTTGAAGAGTAGTTTTTAAAAAAGGACAAGACCACAATACAAATAGCATTGTTTTTTCAAATTATCAATCAAAGAACACTACAAAATAGCTTTTCTTCTTATGATGAGGTTAAATGAGGAGAGCTTTTTATAATCTCCCATGTAAAAGAAAACCAGTTTACAGGTAAATAAAGTAGGCAAAAGAAATTTGTCACACATGTCTGGTACAATCAGCACAAAAACATCTAAAATGCAACAGCTAGACTTCTGAGGAAGGTAGTGATCGGAGGCTTTGCTCACAAGATCATGACAAACTACACAAGTCCTATTTAGCTCATAACTAACTATTCTAAAAATAACGAAGACCGCCAAACTTACCTCAGTAAAGTCCACATTCCCATCTGTCTCCCTTCCTAAATAAACTGAGGAACATGTGTTTATTAGTTCTAAATCATCTATCCTCAACATATCTTACTTACACCTAATTTTAAAAAAAAAAAACTGTTTCTTTTATAGAAATATCTTTTTGAAAAACAAACTGATTTAGTTTGATAATTCACCTTTTTCTTTCAATTTTTACATCTTATTAGAAAGAAATATATCCACACTTAAGTACTTGAAATAATCAAGGGTGGAAATGGTGTTTTTGCAGGAAAGACAACAAAACAGCAACTTAGTAAGCAGCTGCTGGGAAAGGACTGGAGAGGACACTGGTGTGCAGGAAGGGGCCTGCTGTCACACAGTAACGGGGACAAAATCAGCAAGACAGGTCCAACAATATTTTTGGCACAGTATTTAAAGTGTTTTATTTTGGGCATTTCTGCCCTAATTATTTTAACCCAAAGTCCTCTTATTAAAAAGGATATAGGGAATATGGAAATTTTATTGTTTACTCACTGAAAACCAATCTCCTAATTAAATGTTAAGAAAATGAAATGAAATTTGATTCCTTTGAAGGTACTGTATTTTTCTTAAACCTCTGTTTTCCATGCTTTTGTTTTGAGGGTACTGGGGACTGCACAGGGCCTGGCCCATGCTAAACAGGTGCTCTACCACTCAACTGTATCCTCAAAAGCAAAACCTACTAAAAATCCATGAAAATAAACACAGAGGCACAGTTAAAGAACAGGGTTTTCTAACATCAGTTTCTCCTGGTTTCTGGTTTTCCAGGGCAGTAACAGGCAAAACTGAGCAGCTCCGCGTCTGTTAAGATTACTTAGAATAGGGGGCTGGAAAGATGGCTCAGAGGTTAAGAGCACTGGATGCTCTTCCAGAGGTCCTGATCACAACCATCTGTAATGAGTCTGGTGCCCTCTTCTGATATGCAAGCATACAAGCAGGCAAAATACTGTATACATAATAAATAAATAAATAAATCTTAAAAAAAAAGAACACTTAGGATAGAAAAACAAACTACAAAATCGAGTCATAAGAGTCGAATGTTTCTACTAATGAAGAGAGCAAAACTCCTTTCCTTTCTGAGATTAATGTTATTTGATATCTAAATATTTCAATTTAGAAATATTCTGTATGGACTCTGTAGTTAAGGCTGCTCTTGAACTCACTGGACAGCCCAAGATAGCCAAACTCATGCCCCAGCTTCCCGAGAACTGGTCTGACTTTCAGTGATGTTCAAAGTTTGACACAAAACTTCCTTATAGAAAACTTTTTTTTCCTGAGTAAGAAACTGAATCTGGTCATTCTGATTAAACTCATAAGGACCTTATTTCAATTTCTGCATAAAACATTTAATGAATTTTAATAAGTCCTTCAGAGAAAATTTTGAAAAAAGCTATTTTCAAGATAACCTCCTTTTTCAGGCCTCATGTGTCCGTTTTGAGAGGCTCACTCTGACACATTCCACTGAAATCCAAATTACTCAAAATTCTTACTTCATACTGTAGCGCATTTCTGTTACTCTCAGTGTCAAAGACACTCAGGGTTTTGAGCCTTTTAACTGAGAAATAACTTAAATATTTATTTTCTCTTAGTAGATAGAAAGTTTAAAAAGTCAATTATTTTTTGCAAAGTTAAATTCTACCCTGGAATAAATGTTTTTACAATTTTAATTACAAAACACAATTTTGTCAAAAAAGTTATATCATACAATCATACCTCTTCCTTGAAAGAAAAGCTGCTCAAGGCCCAGGACTTCCAAATGCACCCAAACTGAAAGGTTAGCTAGATAAACCATGCGCTTAAGAACATACAGAAGGGATCTATGAAGGATAATCACCTTAAGAGAAAAAACTTTGTGCAGATGACACTGGTTCAAATGCATTCCCTTGGGGAAAAAAAATCAACTCTGTAAAGATAGCAGATGGATTTGTTTAAATAGTAATAAAATTAACGAGGGACTTTAATAACCATCACAAATTTAAAGCATGCAACCATACTACAACAAATGACATTTTTTTCCTTTGCCCATACAATACATGGTTGGAATACTGACACGGGAAAAAGGCAAGCTTAGAAAATCATAGACATTTAGACTTCACAGTACAGCACAGTGTGGGAGAACCAACTTTACGTTCAGTTCAGCAAGAAAGTCAAAGAGCTGCCAAGGGCTTACCACTGGTGGATCAACGGGTGCTGGTGGCTGTACTTGGAGATTTACCGCAACAGTCTGTGGAGGAGGAAGAGTCTGAAATGGCAACTGGACCAGAGCTTCTGCAGCAGGTAGCTCTTCTTCTGACACCAAAGCATTCTGCACCAAAACCTGGCCCTGGGACAGAATTTCAGGCTGCACTTGTAAAGACTGCATAGACTGCAAGGGCAGTGGTGGGATCTGAGCTGGAGGAGATGTCGACATCTGTGGAGGGGTTGCGATTGGAATTGGAGATGACTGCAGGGCTGAATATTGCTGGTGTGATGTTGGAGACACAATCTGCTGAGCAGGGGACACCAAGGCAGACTGTTGGACTGGGCCAATGTGTACAACAGGGGATGCTGGAAGTGGAAGATGGGATGGAAGATTCAGCTGTGCTGTGGGTTGTACCTGATCAGCAGTAGCCTGCTGCAAATTTGGCCCTGTTTGAAGAGCTGAAGACACAAGAGGGTGTGGCTGGATAAGTGCTTGTGGATGGATAATTATAGTAGGAGACTGACTTGGGGAATGAGGTGGAGGAGGAGACACCACTACAGACTGCTGTGCCGATTGTGCCTGATTAGGAGACACAGTTAAAGGAGGGGGATGGCTCTGAATTGGTGAGCAATGCTGTGACTGGGCATTACTAGGAGCTGGAGAAAGGCCATGGTTTGGAAGCGGGATACAGTGCTGGGATGGGGGCGGATCTTGAGTTGGACTCTGAAGGGTGATTGGCTGAATCTGCTGTTGTTGCTGTTGTAAAATCAGCTGATGATGGGAAACCTTAGGAGGTGGTGAATGAAGAGGAATCTGTTGATGTTTGATTAGAGAATGAGGCTGAATTGGAGAATATGAAGCTGTGAGAGAAAAAAATGACAATTAGTACTGATTTCAAAACAAAACAGTTTTTACATAAATTTAAAGGAGGAGAGTTTTCACATTAGAGAGTCATAGTCATTAGCAGTCTGTTACAAGTCTTCTAGTTTGACATTCTATGACATTCTCCTTGCAAGGCTAAAATACTAGATACATAAGCTACGCTGTGAAACACTGACAGAAAAGCAATCTAGTCACATATGTATAGCTTCCCACGTCCTACTCTCCAATCGACAGAACAGCTTTACCAGCCTAGCACTGAGGTCTCTGCACTTGAGTCTCCTGAGTCCGCCTCTTCTCTGAAGGGGAAGTATCAGCACTCAAGGATGACTTCAAGATCAAGATCTCATCCCGTCTATGACAAAACATATCCCAAACTAACAGCATAATCAACTAGCTAGAAGGCTTCCTAAGTGAGCATTTTAGCTTGGAAGAAGTCTTTATTATTTGATCAGAATAAAATTGTTTCACATAAAACTTCAATCAATTAAGCAAAATACATGGCTGAATCTTATAGTGGAGGGGCCATTCCAAACCTAAGTGAGCAATCATTGTTTTGCAGAGAATGCAAAATAAGATCATGATACCTAAAATAAGGGATGGTGTTTATTCCTTTGCACTCAATGGCAAGTCCAGAGTGAGTGGTAAGCACTGAGTGGTATCGATCAGATCTCCTCCAGAGGTCTTAACAACTGGGACAGTGCACACCATGCTGACTCTACGACTAGGACTGAAAACTGAGTGCACTGGAAGGTATCTGAAATGACTGCTTAATACCACACAAAAATCACACACATTTAAGCTGTCATGGTAGGCACACCTTTAATCCTAGCACTAAGACAAAGACACATGGATCTCTGAGTAGAGGTGAGCCGATCTCCATACATAGCAAGTTCCAGGCCAGTCAGGACCATAAGGAGACCCTGTCTCAAAGTCTCCACCCCCACACACCCCAAAAATAGTCATCTAAATTAAATATAAAGACAGAATTTATCTCTCAATGTAAATATAAAAGTTACATAGCACTTTACATTCTTTTATATTCAACAACAGTTATGGCAACAGCCTTATACAAACTTCTAATAACTTTTTTTCTTAAACATTTTTTACATTTTATTATAATTTAAAATTTAGGGACCAAGCTGATGAGATCTTTCAGCAGTTAAGAACATTGGTTGCTCTTCCAGATGACCTGAATTTGGTTCCCAGCACCGATGTGGCAGCTAAGAACTATCTGTAACTACAGTCCAGGGGATACGATACCCTCTTCTGTCTTCCTGAGGTACCAGGCACACATATGATATACATATATATGCAGGCAAAAGTCATACATATAAAATGGTATGTTTAAAAATTATAGCGAACCTAGCCAGGCGGTAGTGGTACACGTCTTTAATCCCAGCACTTGGGAGGCAGAGGCAGGCAGACCTCTGTGACTTTGACTTGGAGACCAGCCTAGTCTACAGAGCGAATTCTAGGACAGGCTCCAAAGCTACAGGGAAACCCTGTTTCAAAAAAAAAAAAAAATACAGAGATTCTTTAAAGAAATTAACATCTGCCAGGCAGTGTTGCACACCTTTAATGCCAAAACTCAGGAGGCAGAGGCAGGCAGATCTCTGAGTTCAAGACCAGCCTGGTCTACAGAGTGAGTTCCAGGACAGCTGGAGCAACATAGAGAAACTTTGTCTAAAGAAAAGAAGAAAAGAAAAAGAAAGGAAGGAAGGAGGGAGGGAAAGAAGGAAGGAGGGAGAGTTCCAGGACAGGCTCCAAAGCTACACAGAGAAACCTTGTCTTGAAAAAAAAAAAATTACAATTTCACTATCTATTAATTATTTTTAAATGAAAGGCTGGGTTATAGCTCAATTTAGAACACATGTGTGTGGCATGGGCTCAAATAGCACTGAAAAAAAGAAAAATGAGTTCTAAAATTTAATCTAAAAATAATTTTTCACGTAAGCTAGTAATTCAGATGAAGACTGCCAGCCTCTACAAATGTGGAGACAGCTGTGTGACAGAGTTAGAGGAGAGCGGTGACCAGATCCTGTGACTCCAGAGAGTGCTTCCCGTTCTCTCAACACTTGGGTCACAGCTGGAGCAAGTGGCTGTCATCTCTTCTTTCAGATGAGGAAATGGTCTTTTCACCTCCATTTTTTAATAAGAATGTTATAATTTAATTTTAAAATCTTTGTCAAGTACTTTTTAAATTTTTAATTATGTGTCTGTGTGTGGGTTCCTGAGAAGGCCTGAAGAGGGCATCAAGATTCCCTTGAGTTGGGAGTTACAGGCAGTCATGACCCATCCAAGTGTCCTGGGAACAGATCTCCAGTCCTTACAAGAATAATCACTCTTAACTGCTGAGTCTTCTTTCCAACCCCACATGCTTCATGGTCCTGAACACAAGCGATATATACACTAGAATGAGTCTGTGTGCTGTCGTAGGTAAATTATCTGATATTTCAGTAGAGTAACAGTCTATTCTTTATCTAAATTAAATTCTTCTTAGATCAGAAGTCAGAGTGCAAGAACAAGTCCTAGGATACAGGATGAGAACTATGAGCAAGAAGAGCTGACAATGTCTACAAAATTGTGTCCTGCTGCTTCATTTCTCTGACTTTAATGAACACTTTATTATTGTCAAAGGGGCCTAATATTTGAAAGATTAATGACTTAGTTTCTCTTATTATTAAAATAAAATATCATTTCATTCAACAATTACTGCAACCCCATGAAGAAGAAATTATACTAAACTAATGCAATATGTGACAGATCAACTGAAAGCACTATCAAATGAATCCTCCAGCCTGAGCTGAGGGCTGTATTATAAACTATTTGCCCCTTTCCCAAATTCACCATGCTGAAACAATAACCCCAAAGTGGCTACATGTAGAGACAGAGAAGGAAGGAAATAAGGTCACGTGGGATCCTGGGAGTGAGCTCAGCCCTGGCATGGCAGAGATCTGTATACCAATAAAAAGAGATACTAGGGCTGGTGAGATGGCTCAACAGGTAAAGACATTTGCTGTCAAGCCTGATGACCTGAGTTTGACCCCCGGAACTCACACCTGATGACCTGAGTTTGACCCCCGGAACTCACATGATAGAAGGAAAGAACCAGCTCCCACAAGTTATCCTCTGACCTCGACATGGACTCTGTGAAATGCTTATGCCCCTGTCCTACCCCTACAACTAAAGAAGTAAGTGCCCCCCCCAAAACAATGTTTTTAAGAAGTCATCAGAGCTCTCCTCCTTCACTGTGCACACACAGGGAAGTCCAAGGGAGGACAAAAACAAAGTGGCAAGTGGCAGGGTAGAAAGACAGTCCTCATCAGAAACTGGGAATGGCCAGAGACTTCCAAGGTATGTACAACATTTCTTGGTGGCAGCCAGACCAAACGACTAGAGGATTTTTTCACTGCATGTTGAATTAATTTCTAAAGAAAAGAAAAGGGGGGGGGAAGCCCTCTAAAAACTGCATAGAAAACCCCTTTCCTGATTTCTAGGGATGTGGTTAAAGGTGAATTCTCACCTTTATATATTAAAAACAGAACTATTGTCAAGTGTGGTAACACACTCCTTCAATCCCAGCACTTGGGAGGAAGAGGAAGGTGGATTTCTATGAGTTCAAGGCCAGCCTGGTCTAGAGAGGGAGTTCTAGGACAGCTAGGACTGTACAGAGAGACCCTGTCTCAGAGGGAAAAAAATTAACAATCAGGCACAGTAGGAGGCTGAGGCAGGAAAGCTGTCATGAGTTCAAGGCCAGTCTGGTCTACTGTCTTCTAAATAAATAAACAGAATTGCTAACACATGAAAGCTTCCACCCTCAAGTAGAAATGGTCAAGAAAATCAGGTTATTTTTTAGACCCTAAAATTACATGCAAGAAAACAGTAACCATGTCCACTCCAGTAACTATTAGGCAACCATATTAGGAAATAAATAATACAAATAGAGGGTCTGGTTTTTTTTTCTCTATTTAAAATGAGTGCTGGCCTAGGTCTAGCTAAGGAAAGAATAAGAAGACGGGTCTCAGTGGACACTACCCTCTGACCCGTCAGCTCAGGAGCAGCAGGCACTGCTGCTCCACATTGACTCAAGCCCTGGTGCTGCCGTGAGGCTGAGAATGCTCTGGGCAATGCTGTGCAAAAGCACACAGACCAGACCACACCCCAGGGTATAGATATTTACTAAAGACAGAGAGAGAGAGAGAGAGAGAGAGAGAGAGAGAGAGAGAAACAATATCTAACTATAGCATGAATGGATTTACTAGCAAAGTTTATAGCACTTCTCTAAGATTCATTCATAACAATCCTAAGCATGGTGGTAGCTAAATAATGCTAAGGGGAATGACTGACAATTTCCAAAGCGTAAGTGTCGAAACTGGGTGATTAGTTCAAATATACCCATGTGCGTACCTATCGCAGGCAAAAGAACAGAAGACAAACCTTCGTGCTATTACTGTGAAAAGGTGAAAAGACACAACAGAGTGCTGAACACGGTGCCTATCACAGCCACTGCTGGAGCACCTCAAGGAGCTCACTGTCCAGTAAAGAGGCTTGGGTTCAGAAAGCACTACAGTTATAACAGGTCAAAGGAAAGAGGCATTTCAACTTAGAGGAATCAGACAATGCCAAGATTTTGAGAGTTTGTAAAGCTAAGAACATGGACAATCCTAACACAGAAGAAACATGAGAAGAAGTTAAAGGGCTGTAACTCCATGTTAGAGCGCTGTGTGCCATGTTGGGAGGCACTAGACTCAATCCTCAGTACCAAACACACAGAGAAATCAGTCTAGGGGGAAAAGTAGATTTCAATAGTATAGAACAAGCGTCAGGAAGCTCACTCTGGAACCATGAAGCAGGATGACCTGCAGGAAAGAGATCCGCATGGCAGAATAAGAATGAAAAGGTCTGCTTCCTTGACAGCTTTTCCTCAGATGAAATCCCACACTGGTAGTGGTGGATGATAAGTTAGGAAAATAATTTCTTTATTTGCCCAATTTTCTGTTTTGAAAAAGTAACAAATCTCCACTAACGACTTGATCAAGATGCACTTACTTTTTTACTAAAAGCTTAAAAATATGTCCCACTAAAGCATACTAAATAAGTTAAGACAATTCTTTTTTAAAAGCTAAAAGACTTTATTACTATAAAGAGAGCAACATCATAAAGATGTTAAGTGCCAAGTAACAACAATGAAAGACCATCTGTTTTCTGTATAACTTGTTTCAATTACTAGGTTTTCTAAATTTTTTCAAACAACTTGAGATCTTCTTTAGCTGACAAAAATTCTCATTTAAAAATGTTTTAAAATTGTTACTCTTATTCAAGTAGCACATGTCCTTTGTTTTGCTGTCTGCTAAGAAAACAATTAAGACAACTATTTTCGACGAACATTTACCCCACCTGGTGCTATTAACTGGTGAATGCTTGAAGTCCGAGTGACCGCTGTGCTTCGAGATTCCAGGCTTGGGCTTCCTCCCTTCTTGCTCTCTGGAGAAGGGTCTCGTTGGCTGATTTTAGAACTGGTCACTGTTGTTTTATTATGACAAATTGTCAATGACTGAGTTTGACCAGTGCTTTTTGGTGGGCCATTCTGTGAGCTAGACAAGACACCCAACTTCTGGCTGCGTAATGTTAAATTCTGAACCTAAGAACCACATAACAAAAAATAAAGATGAAAACATAGCTTTAGCTGATACAGCAACCATTACAATAATGACAGTAATTAATATTGTGCCTCCTACACAAAGAGGTCCACACTCCTGAGACAACCGATAATCCTTAAGGAAACCCTTACAGAAAGGTCGCTCCACATGAACATGTCTTAACTACTATGTGGCAGGCTGGAAAGGACATATAAGACAGTTGTGAGTGAAAGAGCAGAACAGGAAGACCAGAAAGAACTAAATAAAAACCACATCAATAATAAGGGGAGGGGATGACGGCAAATGCAGTATAAATATGAAGAAACGCCTCTGCCATGCACTACATCAAAAGTGACCAGTTCTAAATGTGTTAGAGGGAGTACTGTAGGACAACTGACTTCTCCAATCATCTGCTCCAGTGTGATACTATGAGAGCATTTTCAGAAAGCTTCTTAAACTGAAATTCTGTTATTGACCACTCAATGTCTTTGAGAACTGGTTTTTCTGAGCTGAAACATTACGCAGAGCTCTGAAATAGGTAAACACTGTAAATTGACAGGATTATCAAACTTCATCTCACTTGAGCTTATACCTTTCCAAAGAGCAAGGCAGAAAATGCCTCACCCACAGTGGCATAGCTTCTTGCCTATCTGAAACATGTACCAGATACACTTAGTACTAGCAATAGTCTCGGAGGGTCAAAGGAGGCACCACCTAGACAAAGCTAATGAATGACAAGCTGCTGAGGACTAACTTCTTCAGTTTCAGGGTGCTCACTGACTCTACACATTTTAGCTGGTGCTCAAGGCTCTATTCCAGGTCCAAATGCCAAAACAGTGTCAAACAGTCATGTCAGACAAGTTTCTATCAATTCTACAGCTACTGCTAATGTGTGCAAATGAAGTACCTCACCATTCCACCTCAAAAAAGACACATGTACCCTAGGCATGGTCTCAGAACAAGCAGTGCTGGAGGGGGTGAGGACTCAGCCTTCATCAGTGGAGTAGTTAGCAAATGGACTTAACATCTGAATAGACTGTTAGGAGGCTGTGGAGCTGTAGAAGAAGGGAGTGGCTGTAGAGAGTTGGTCACTAAGGGGTTATCTTTAAAGGAGAATTGGGGCCCTGATCCCTTCCTCGGTCACTCTCTGCCTGGCTGCCAACAATGTAGGCCCAACCCACTATGAATCCACTTTCTCTTCTCCAGTCTACAATCTTATACAACTGCCAAACTGCTCTCACTGTCCTATAAATACACCATATACTTCCTTCATTTGGTGCCCTTTGTTCTGGCTCTGCCTGCCTTAATATCATTCTTTCTCAAGCCATTATTAACAGTTCAATAATCTGCTTGGCTCTCTCAGAAGAGCTTCCTGGAGTTCTTTGTGAAGAATTTGCCCTTCCACTCTGGGATGTTTCCATGGAATCTGAGTGAGACTGGCCTACAGCACAATGTCTAGCTTGTCTGTACATGACCAACATACACATTTGTGAAACGGTGAGAGGAGACTCAGCTAATAGGGACAGAGCCTCCAGCATTGACTTTTGCACCCCTAGCAATTCAGAACTATAAAAACTGGGAACTTCCTAAGTTGGGATATTCTCTTACATCTGATTTTGAAATCACATCATATAGATATTTAAAAAGTTATTTAGTTCCACTTATGGCTCTTATGCTAACACTAAAATTTGTCCATATTTACTAACAAACTTCATTAAATATCTTTGTGGAGGCACATTAAAATATCTCAGGAAGGACAAAGATATAGCTAGGTGGGCCTAATATGTACAAGGCCCTGGGATCCATGTCTGGTATAACAAAAGAAAAAACAAGAAACTATTATCAGGATAGTGATAGTGGCACAGGCCTATTATCACAGCACAAGGAGGCAGAAGCAGGAGGATCACAAACAAATTCAAAGCCAGTCTAAGAACCATAGTTAATTCCAGTACAGTCTTGGCCATACAGCAAGACCTGACTCTAAAATAAGTAAGTAAATAAACAAATAAGTAAAACAATCAATTTACCCAGGAAGAGCTACATAATAGAGAATATAGCATTTTCCACAAGTGATCCATGCAGTAGACCATATAATAATGATAACCAAGAAAAAATAAGCCAAAAAAACTTGAATGGTTCCTTCAGGATGAAAAGCATCTGAACAGTAAATGAAGATCTGACACAATGACCCCTAATACCTACACCACACTGCTTCCTGGAATCCTGAAAAGCAATGTTCATGCCTCCACAGCTAAGTATGATGTTATGTTCTATATGAGCGTGTAGACTTTAGATAACCTGCTGCTATCTTCACTCAAATACTAACTGAAAGTAAATAACTTACACTGTAGAAACTGCAGCACCAGAAGTAACACTCACTACTGGAAAGACCACATATTCCAAGACAGTATCTTTCTGGGGAGAGAGAATCCATCCCCAGATGAGGAGTAATGGGCATCTTAGCCTTAATTTTCATTTCCCCTGAAACAAGCCTATGATTCTATAAGAAACTTTGACATCATGCATGAGGTATTTTTGCTAACTTCTATAATGAATATATCATTACCAAAATAATTCTCGGAATCATTTAACTGAAATCAAGCACTGCAGACATTACTACAGCATCTTCTCTGCAGAAGAGGGGGCTGGAGATAGGGCAGGGGATTAGTGTTGTGCTGAGCTGACTTCTCAAATCAGCATTCCCCAGGTTGCCCTTTGACAAACAGCATCTTATTCTTCTATAAACATCCTTTTTGTGCCAGTTAGATGGCACACACCTCTAACCCCAGCACTCTGGATGTGGAAGCCGAGGGACTTCTGTGAATTCAAGGTCAGCCTGATCTATATCTAGTTTTCCAGGTCAGCCAGAAGTATACAATAAGATTGTCTAAAAAAACACTTTTACTGAGGAAAAAAGGAATTGATATACTGACTTTTGTAGTTTAAATAAGAACATTAAACTACAAATCTGATACTCTCAATTTTAAAACTACATACTTATTTTTTTTTAAAAAAAAAAAGGTAGAAAAGTAAAAAAGAAAATTAAAAAGGGCCATAGTGGCACACTCCTTTAGTCACAGCACTTGGAAGGCAGAGAGAGGTAGGTAGATCAAGGTCAGCCTGTTCTATAGAGTGAGTTCCAGGACAGCCAGGGCTATACAGGGAAACCCTGTCTTGAAACATACACACACCAAAAAAAAAAAAAAAAAAATTCATACCCAACAGTCCTGAACCTGAAGGTGTGTCTCTGCTGGTCAGTATCGCCTAGCACTGCCAGCCTCATTCGCTGTCATACAAAATCAGTGTTCACAGAGAGATCCCTTCAGTCCCCTGAAAGCCTTAACCAAGTCAGACCCGCATAGCCACAGAGCCTGGACAGGGCACATCCTATGTCACCAGAAGACCAATTCACAAACTATATTAGCTGCATTAACGACACATAAGAATGTTTTCGTCATGAGAAACAGTAAGCAAACGGAGTACTAGATCATACTAAAGAGAAACATTATCTCCTAAGCAGCTGGTTGGTTTATCATGGAAACTATCAGTCATTTAAACAGTTATTTATTATCTCTTCATTTCTAGCTTCTTGAAAGCTAAGAACCACATGTGTGATTTGTCTTCACACAATGTCAAATAGTCAGGAGATATCTCATTATGCGGCAGCACTGTGATGAGGAGCTTCTGATTGCCTCACTTGCCACTTGTAACAGCTGAGGGGTATCATTTCCAATATAAAGTAAAGCAATTGGAGCTGAGCCAGGACCTTAAAATTAGCATTTAGTGAGCACTATCTAGCAGACCCTGTTAAGTAACTGCAAAGGGCCAGGAGCAAGTTAAGAAAACTCTGAGTTTACTCAGCTACAATCTTTATAACTAATACATGAAAATCAGTCTTTATTATTAAATGTATCAATACACAGAAGTTCTATTAAAAAAATCAAAGAATATTAATTATTACTATCTCATTTACTTCTTGTTGTTGTTTGGTCTTTCAAGACAGCGTTTCTCTGTGTAGTTCTGGCTGCCCTGGAACTCACTTTGTAGGCCAGGCTGGACTCAAACTCAGAGATCCCTGCCTCTGCCTCTCAAGAGCTAGGATTAAAGGCATGTGCCACCACTGCCCAGCTACTATCTCATTTCTTACATTCACCAGAAAGCCTGAGTATGAAATGAGAAATAAAATGCACCAGGCATGGTGACTCATGCCTGTAATTCCAGCACTGAGGAGCTGATACATGGTTGGTGCAGGACAATTCTGTATTCTATCAATTATGTTTTAAATAAACGCTGATTGGTCAGTAGCTAGGCAGGAAGTATAGGCAGGACAACCAGACAGGAAGTAGAGGCAGGGCAATGAGAACAGGAGAATTCTGGAAAGAAGGAAGCTCTCTCTGCAGACCTGCCCAGACATGGAAGAAGGAAGATGTGACCTACTCTGCTGAAAAAGGTACTAAGCCATGTGGCTAACATAGATAAGAATAATGGGCTAATATACGTTATAAGAGCTAATATGAAGCCTGAGTTAATGGACCAATCAGTTTATAACTTATGTAGACCTCTGTGTGATTTTTTGGGGGGACCTAACAACTGTGGGAACTGGGCAGGACAGAAACCCCAACAAACTGGCCTTCATGTTACACATGGTGACTCATGCCTGTGATTCTAGCACTGAGGAACTGACACAAAAATATTGTCTCAAATTGAAGGCCTGGGGGATAATATCAAGTACTAGGCCATCCAAGGCTACTACCAAAACTTTTTCTCAAAAAAAGAAAATTAAAAATATACCCCAAATGAACAAAAGATATTCTAAAATGTATAAGTAAATAAAAGGCCAAAGATGGCCCAATATATGAGTGAATGTCTGTCATAAACATTTTTACTATGAAAACAACAAAATAGTACCACATAAAGCAATAGTCTATTCAATTATTTTAACTTAAAGTTTATTCAATCTAAATGATCATTATGAAATTTACTGAGATATGATTTACAGTAAGATGCACCTATTCCATAAATTTTGATAGTAGGTCAAAATTTATGGAACCAGAGCTGGCGGTGGTGGCACATTCCTTTAATCCCAGCACTTGGGAGGCAGAGAGAGGCAGGCGGATCTCTGTGAGTTTGAGGCCAGCCTGATCTACAGAGAGTTCCAGGACAGGCTCCAAAGCTGCAGAGAAACCCTGTCTCGAAAAAAGTCAAAAAAAAAAAAAAAAAAAGTATGGAACCAACACACTGAACATCCAACCACCACAATGAACATCCCTCCTAGTCAATTTTTCCTACCTCTATTAACCTAATTTTTTCAGTATGGAGGGTTTTTCTGATTCTGGAATTTTAAAACTACAGAATCACAGAGGACATACTTATTGTGTCTAGTTTCATTTGCTAGCCATGCTTATGAGATGTACTAGTGGTTTGCTCTTTTTACTTTTGGTACTATTCCACCGATGACTGTAACACCATCTGTTGTACACTCAGCATTAGAATGTTTAGCTATTAAAAAAAAAGAATGTTTAGCTATTAAAAACTATTGTATAGTGTCAGTCTTCATTTCAGCCACCCAGATGAATGTATGATGATGCTCACTATGATCTATGATGTTGAACATTTTTATCTTGTGCTCATTGGCCTTTTATATATTGTCTGCCTGTTTGTTTGTGCTTCTTACTGTCCTAAAACTCACTACATAGACCAGGCTGGCCACAAACTCACAGAGATCTATTTACCTCTGCCTCATAAATGCCAGGATTAAAGGTATGCACCACCATGCCTGGTCTATATAGTTAATGTTTTGTGTGAACTATCTCTTCAAATATTGTTTCCATTTTTAACTGATATCATGATCTATTACTAAACTATAAGCATTTTTTATATTCTAGGTACAATCTTTGGTCGGATACATATATTGAGAATAGTTTCCCTCAGCTTGTATCCTAGATACTCATTTTGTAATGTCTCTTTAAAGAATAGTTTTTAGTTTAAGTACAATTTATCACTTATTTTTGTTTCTAGTTAATCTCTTTTGTGCTCTAAGAAGCCTTGCCCACCCTAGACTTGCAAAGATGCTGTCCTGCTTTCTCCTGGAAAATTAAATTTTTTAATTTTTACCTTTAGGCCTACATTCTACTTTTAGTTTATTTTTTGAATAAGAGAGAAGTTTCATTTTTTTCCATAGTACCAAATAAAGTAATACTCTACTTATGTTTTTAACTTCAAATTTTCCTGAGTTAACTCATTTTTAAACTTAAAATTATCATCTACTTTGACGTATCTGTTATGTAACTGCTTGCAAAGGAAATCTACAAAAAAGAATATACCTCATGTAAGAAAGAAATCTGGTATACAGCAAAACTAAAAATACAGTGTCAATAATAAAACTCTTGTTAATCTTGATGAATCAACACCTAATAATCTAAATCTGTTTGATTATATGTCATTTCTACAAAACAAGCATGCTCTTGGAGCTCTCAGTGCTTTATGAACTTCACCTGAAAGGCATGGCAATGCACTCTGAAGCAGAGGAGCTGAAACACAGTGACCGCCTTTCCACTGAGAGAGACCCAGAACTCCAGTACCACACTGTGATACACAATCTCACCTGAGCAGCTGCAGACTGACAGGAAGGTGACGATGACGACGAGACAACAGGAATGTCAGACTGCACAGCAGCCACAGTGGTAGCGGGTGTGAAAATCAGCTGTACAGACAGAAAACCAAAAATAACACCCTAAGACTAAAGAACATGTCCCACACACAGTGTGTAGCAAGCAGGCAAGAGACTGAACTTTGTGACAGAGAGACAGTGCAGTCAGGACTACCTCCTAAGCAAAAGGCTTCACACGACAACAAAGGTGTGATCACAGAGCTCAAAAAAAGTCACCAACAGCTTTGAAATCGCTCACAATTCTGAGAGTAGGGGAAAACTACTCAAAGAAAAGAATGTGTTTTGGTGAGATGAGATCCTCAAACCAAATTCTGTCCCAAATAAAAGCTACTACCTCAGGATTCCAAAGATGGAAATGAAAATAAAACTACACTAGGATATAGATTAATTTTGGTAAGAAACAGGCAAAGAAACACCAAAAAGTCTCTTCAGTCCACACAGTAACAGTGCCACATACTACGATGTTTCTCAGCTACAAGGGACCGATCGTAGGACAAAGTAAGGTTGCTCTTAATATTAACCCTGTTTATAAAGGGCTATTTGTTCTAAATATAAATGCTCGAATGTTAAAACAGAGGAGCAACCAAAGGCCTTTACCCCAAAACAACAAAAGAGAAAAACAATCCATACATCACCATCTTGTTTTCAAACTTTTAATATTAAACAAGTACGATTAATTTCTAAGACATACAATCTACGCAGTCTAACTGGATTTAGTAAATAACGATAGGCTTTAAAGTGTGGAGATACACTATTTTTTTTTCAAAATATTTATTTATTATGTATACAATATTCTGTCTGTGTGTATGCCTGCAGGCCAGAAGAGGGCACCAGACCCCATTGCAGATAGCGGTCAGCCACCATGTGGTTGCTGGGAATTGAACTCAGGACCTTTGGAAGAACTGGCAATGCTCTTAACCTCTGAGCCATCTCTCCAGCCCGAGACACACTATTTTTAAAGTCATTTCAAGAAGTACTCGCTACCTTTCTGCTATTTAAACTAAAATAATCAATTAGGGACCTTTTCTAACCTTGAACATTTACTAGTATGTATTAATTATACAACACTGGATTACACTACACTGTGGGTTTCATGCATGCACATACATGGCCATCATATTCACTATCCCCTGTTCATATTCACCATCCCCCCTCATTTTCTGAACCCCTTATTTTCCTCTAAACCCTTTTACATTTGAATTCTTTACTCATTTACTTACTGAATCTAAATTCACCAACAAATTTTATTACTTTTAGTGCATGCAACCAGTCTAAAAGCACTCCACCCACAAATGAAGATTTATTTTGTTTGAGTCATATGAATTGCCCATTTTAAAGGTCAAAATCATCAAAACAAAACAAAAATATTTCAAATTGTGAAATCATATTATTAAAGACAATTTCATGAGAGAAAAGTAATCCAGAAGAGAAAGGAGATGTTTACAATTTGTTAATAAAAGTTGTGTCACATCATCACTTCCTGCCAAAAATAAGACTGAAAACTTGCTTTCCAATTTTCAATAAATAGGGATCAGATATATAATCAGTTCATTGGTCAAAATCTGCATATTAAGGAAGCCGAAGATGGTGAGTATTGATAGGATACTTGTCTAGTATTCATGAAGCCCTGGTTTCAGTCCCTAGTACTGCAAAATTAACTAACTAACTAATTAGGTTCATATCTATCTATCTATCTATATATATATCTTATATAAATAAAAATATATATATTAAAACATTTGCTTAACTGCACAAAATTATGTCAGCCAATGTCTACATGCCTTTAAAAATGTCAATAATTAAATCAGGTAATCAATAGATATCTAATTATAAAATTATCAATTAACATTCCTATATTAATAAAAAAAAAGCTCAAGTAAACATAAGAATGCAACCTTACAGAACTTGAGACAGTAATAACCAAAGCTATGAATTATCTGAAAAACAATCAGAACTCCAATCCAGATTTCAGAAGGCCCTTGGACATAAATTCTTACTTCTCATTGAAAGTTTTTAATATTTCCAACTATTTCCTCAAATCATCAATGTCAGTAGAATAATTTATATAACACTGTAAATAATAAAACTGTAAGATGGCATCAGTAATAAAAAGTTCTTCAATTGTAGAGATCTCAAAATATGAAAAAAGATTTTAAAATAAGTACCACTATTAAAAAATATTGTTACCAAGAAGACCTATTAATTCACGGTGTAATTTTTATGAATATTTAAAAGTGTTCAAAGGCTGAGCATACACACACACACACACACACACACACACACACACACACTAGTTAAATACTGCTTAAGTATTAAAAGTGCCTTATTGTATCAAATCCAAAAGCACTGGAACTCTCCCGTCCTCAGACACTGAAGAGCTGGTATCTTAGATCTTACCATCTGAGCTCGGAGATACATCTGAGCTTGGCTGGCCGTCAAGGTAGGGGAGGTGCTCCCTAGTAACATAGTCTGCTGGGTAATACTGCCACTGCTGGAACTGGACGCCTGGGAGCGATTCATCAACTGAGCAGGTGTAGGAGAAGTGGAGAGGTTGATCTAAGGAAGAAAACGTAACAGGTCATGCTTCCATGTTTTGCCTCCATATTCTCAACTTCAGGAAGCTGGAGCAAGGCAACCAATGGTAGAAATCTCAAGGATAAGCTTTGACAGAGCCCTTCATTTTGGGCAGCAATTTGCATACAAGCAGACTGTGTGTATGCCTACAGGCCAGAAGAGGGCACCAGACCTCACTGCAGACGGTTGTGAGTCACACACAGCATAGACTCTGTATGCAAACACACAGCATAGACTGCTTACTAACTGGAACAACTTCCAAACACATCCACATTTCAGGAAGACTTCAAGCAACTTAAAAATGGCTTTACTACTACCTCCCCCAAAACTAAGGATAATGTCCAATTACGTTAATTTTACACAGAGTGACTTTAAAGTTCTAACTGTAATACATTGTTTTGTCACAGTCATATTTTGAGGAGCTTCTGAAGTGAACAAAAATTAAAACACAAATAATCCATTCATATATGAAAAATATGTGGGTAACGTATAATTACTGTAATGTTTTAACTTAAAGGTTCTGAAAACAGAAAATACAATTGCTATCTATTAAACAGATAGGAAAATCCTGAATATTGACTATGAAATTAATGTATCAACATTTTAAAGTTTAAAGTCACACTTAAGAATTAATTAGAAGCCAGGCGGTGGTTGCGCATGTCTTTAATACCAGCACTCAGGAGGCAGAGGCAAGCAGATCTTTTTGAGTTCGAAGCCAGCCTGGTCTACAAAGCAAGTTCCAGGACAGCCAGAGATGTTACAGAGAGACCTTGTCTCAAAAAGCCAAAAAAAAGGAAAAGGAAAAGGAAAAGAAAAAGGAAATACTGAGCAAGCAGAGGTAGTGATTTATGCCTCATGTAATCTAGCACTCAAGAGGCTGAGGCAGGAGGCTTCTGGGTTAAAAGCCAGCCCTGGGCTACTGATGATTAAGTGCCAGGTCAACTTGGAGAACAAGAGACCTGGGCTAAACAAAAAGGAAAATAAAATCAGAACTAGGAAGGCTGAGGCAGGAGAACTGCTAGTTCATGGTGATTCTGAACTAAGCTACACTTCAAGTTCCTGGCCAGCATGAGCTACATAACAAGACCCTAGCTCAAAAATGTGCATGGACTAATAGATCCCTGGAAAATATATTAGAAACTGTCAACTTGTTGGATCTGTGAAGGGAAAATGGAAAGAGGTAGGTGGAGAAACAGGGAAAAAAGAGATATATACATCCTTTCTCGTCTTTCCAAGTCATTTCATGTTCATGTATCACCCATTCTTAAATAATTTCAGAGAATAACATAATTCAACCTCACCTTAAATCATTTTGGAACAAAGTAGAGAACAAAATTAAGAAATAGCTTACTAGACTTCTGATTCAGCAAGTGAATACACATTCATGTGCTCAAAGATACTCTCTGAAATGCTCAAATTGACATGAAAATGAGAAAGCAGTTGAAATGCACAAGGGAACAGGGAAGGGAAATGTTCAGGAGTCAGTCAGAAATGCAAACCCAGACATGTAGCAACAAATGACACCAAGGCATATCTAGGTTTATTAAGCCTACAAAGATGGAATGTCCACATTGGTCTATTATACGGTAAAGCTGGAAGTGAAATCTCTATTTTGAAACAAGATTCTGAGAAAGGCTGATCAATATGTGAAAAGTTCCACTCATGTATGCTGAGAAGCAGCTAGGAAGTTGTTATACCTGTCCTGACATACTGAAAGAGTGAAGGGAAGCATCTATGAGATTCAAAATTTCAGGGGTTTACCATGTGTGGGTATAAAATCCAAATTCACACTCCCTGCATAGTCCCTTAATATAATCTCATACATTAGCATTTGATAGAACAAAATAGTGATATAGAATAGCAATATTCTACCAGGGGAAACGTCAACTTGAAGTATCTACACATGAAACTGCCTTCATGAGACCCAGGTGAGACACACAGGAGACGGTCACGCACAGTAAGAAAAGACGTTGTTGAAGAGAAGAAACCCTTTACGTCACCTGGGTTACCCCACTCCCAGCCCCAGGGGAGACTCTCCCAACCCCTAAATCCCTAATTCTAGGCTGGTACCCACTAACTAAATCTTTCAACCTGCCCTTGCCCTAGATAAGATTCATAAACTCTGTGATATAAACTGAAATTTAGTTGCCTGCAAAGACTTGAATTGCATACAAACCTCAGGAGCAGAGGTGGGGGCTACAGGGGTTAGTGCTGTATCAGCCACAACAATCAGAAGGTTCCAGTCTGGGGCTAAGGTGTTCCTGGAGATCACAGGCTATAACCCAGGCTACACTTTTCAGTTATCTGTCTTTGAAGTCCACAGACTCTTGTTTTGATTGGTTAGTTTTACTCTTGATGCTGGGTTTGTGGTTTTTTTTTCTTTCTTTCATTCTTCTTCAATGTATTTTTCAGTTCCAGGACTTGTGTTGGATTTTTTGTTTTAAATTTTAATCCGTTAACTATCTCTGATGAACTCTCTGAATTGGTTTCTGTATTTAAAGTTTTCAGTTTCCTCAAAGCAGCTATCTGAAATTCTTTGTTAGGTTCACAGAATCTGTCTTGCTAGGGCCAGTAGGGGATGACTTATGTCCTTTCAGTGTGTCACAGCTGCTTGGCCTCTTCCCTGTCTACCCCCAGGTCTGATCCCTGCTACTTCTGTTTCTGTTTGTAATGAAGTAAATGTCTGTTTTCAGTCCTTGAAGTCTGGCATGCTAGGCAAGTACTCTATGATCAAGTTACACTTTTAGGTTTAATAACTAAAATTCTGAAAACAATCTTCCTTGTTTTCAAATTTCCTGGAAAGTGCTTAATACAACACCCTTGTTAAAATAATTACAAAAGGTATGAATTAGAAATTTTCAGGCATACTAAAGATTCAAGTTTATCACCAACGTGCTCACTACAAGTAATGTATCAGAAAAAAGCCCGTCAAACAGAATGCCCACCATAATAGCCTTTGATTATTTACTCGTATCTTTGGTACCCAATACTGTGCCTCACAGCAGAGCAGCATTAAAAAGTACTGAACACAGGCTGGAGAGATTCAGTAAAGTGCTTGTCACACAAGAATGAGGATCTGAGTTTGGTTCCAGTACCAACAGAAAAGGTGGAGCACACACACATCTATAATTTCAGCACTGGGAAGGCAGACAGGAGGATCCCTGGGACTTGCTGGATGGCCATTCTGAGGCAGGCCAAGGAGCTCAGTTTCAATTAGAAACCTTGTCTCAAAAATTAAAATGAAATATGATCACATCACAAAAACGCTCCACAAACAATCTGTCCTGCCTGCTAGATGTGCTGGGGAATGATGTCTGGGAATTGGTGGGAGTGGCCAGCCAGCCAATGTCTGGTTTAACTTGAGGTCCATGCCACAAGAGGGAGCTCCCACCCCACACTGCCTAGACGGCCAGGAACAAGAGACTGGCTAGTAGGGAAAAACTGAACATGAATGATTTATATATATATATATATATATATATATAAATAACACCAACAACAGAAGCAATGAAGTGATTCCTAATGATATTCAGCTATACTCCTTGTTCAGTCTTCATCATAGTCTTTCTCCGACAGCAGAAGGGAGCAGGCACAGAGGCCTATACCAGGAAACCCCCATGGACAAGGGGAGAAAAGACTGTGGGAGTCAGAGCGGAAGGAGATCACCAAGACAGCGAGCATGAGTAGACGTCACCTAATAATTCATTGCTCATTATTACTACCTAGAGACTTCTGTTACCACAAACTGTCTCTGTTGTGGGATATGTGCACAATGGGTGAAGATACATTATTGTTACGATTGGTTTAATTAAAGAGCTGGATGGCCAATAGCTGGGCAGGAGGTACAGGCAGTACTTCCAGGCAGAGAGAGGAAGGAGGAGTTGAATCTAGGTGCACCAAAGACACTACAGAACAAGTTAGATACACAAAAACGGGAAAGAGATAAAAGTCACGTAACAAAATGTAGATTTAAAAAAATGAGTTAATTTAAGCAATAAGAGCAAGTGGGACAAGCCTAAGATAAGGTCAGCTTTCATAATTAATAAGTCTCTGTGTTGTTATTTGGGAACCGACAGTCCAGAGAAAAATCCAACTACATGTCTCTTCTACTGTTGAACCAAGTTTTGTAAGCTACTTAGCCATTGTAATATGCTTCTGGTCAAATCACTTGTGGGAGAGCTAGCTCGCCAAAACAATAAACAAAACAAGGGGGCTGGAGCGATGGCTCAGAGGTTAAACCTTCTTAACTGACTGCTCTTCCAGAGGTCCTGAGTTCAATTCCCAGCAACCACATTGTGGCTCACGGCCATCTGTAATGAGATCTGGTGCCCTCTTCAGGCCAGCAAGCATACAGACAGACAGAACACTGTATACATAATAAATAAATAAATCTTAAAAAAAAAACCAATAAACAAAACAAACAAGACATCTATTCTCCCTTCATACTTCTTGTACACAACAAGCCACTCAGTTCTGGCATACTCCATGGTACAGTGCTATCTATCTTAGGACAAGTATCATTATGTCATTACAAGTATATTCACGTGGCCAAGATCAAAATCACTGATGACAACTTATGCAGGAGAGGTTATGGGGAAAGGGAACACTTCTGCATTGCTGGTGGGATTGCAAGCTGGTACAACCCCTTTGGATGTCAGTGTGGTGATTTCTCAGAAAATTAGGAAACAACCTTCCTCAAGACCCAGTAACACCACTTTAGGGTAATATATCCAAAGGATGCTCAATCGTGTCACAAGGATATGTGCTCAGCTATGTTCATAGCAGCTTTGTTTGTCATAGCCAGAACCTGGAAACAACCTAAATGCCCCTCAACCGAAGAATGGATAAGGAAAATGTGGTACATTTATACAATGGAGTACTACACAGCAGAAAGAAATGACATCTTGAATTCTGCAGTCAAATGGATGGAGCTAGAAAACATTATTTTGAGTGAGGTAACCCAGACACAGAAAGACAATTATCACATGTACTCACTCATAGGTGGTTTTTAAACATAAAGCAAAGAAAGCCAGCCTACAAACCATAATCCCAGAGAATTTAGACAACAATGAGGACACTAAGAGAGACTTGCATAGATATAATCTGCATGGGAAGTAGAAAGTAGAAAAAGGGAGCTGAAGAGATGGTTCAAAGGTTAAGAGCACTGGCTGCTCTTCCAGAGGTCCTGAGTTCAATTTCCAGCAACCACATGGTGGTTCACAATCATCTACAATGGGATCTGGTGCCCTCTTCAGGTATGAAGGCATAAATGCAGGAGGAACACTGTATACTTAATAAATGAATAAAATCTTAAAAAAAAAAAGTAGAAAAAGACAAGCCTCCTAAGTAAATTGAGAGCATGGGGACTTTGGGGGAAGATTTAAGGGGGGGGAAGGGAAGAGGCAAGGAAGGGAGCAGAGAAAAATATAGAGCTCAATAAATATCAATAAAAAAAGAAAACATAAAAAAAGTTAAGCATTAAAAAAAAAAGTATATTCATGGCCAGGTGGCAGTGGTGCATGTCTTTAATCCTAGCACTCAGGAGGCAGAGGCAGGTGATCTCTGTGAGTTCGAGGCCAGCCTGATCTACAAGAGCTAGTTCCAGGACAGCTAGGACTGTTACACAGGGGAACCCTGCCTCAAAAAACAAAAAACAAAAAAACAAAAAACAAAAGAAAATGTATTCACTTGGAATCACAGTTTCTGTAAGTACCTCACACATAAAGTCATAGAAAAATGCTTGTTGTTTTTTGAGACAGGGTTTCTCTGTGTAGCCCTGGCTGTCCTGAACTCACTCTGTAGGTCACATAGACCCACCTGCCTCTGCCTCCAGAGCTTTGGGCTCACAGGTATACGGCACAAGTGCCTGGAAAAATCCTCACATTTTCAAAAGTTATCTCCAACCTATTACTCCCATTTTCAGGCACTCGTTAATTAAACAACAGTCTCATGAATAATAAGTTTACTTTTGCAAAACAATAATTAAAAACTTTAAGTCTAGGAGAAATTTTAGGATACTTACAGATGTCTGGGACATACTTGACTGCTGTGTGACACTTCCTGTCGGGGATGTAGATGGCCTTCCACTGGACAAGCTTGCCTAGAATAAGAAAACTATTGTAATATGTCTAAAAACTTCCTGGGGGAGGAGGGAACAAACTCTTCCTTGAGTTACAATAATATAAAACTACAATAAAAATTCTCAAGTCTATCTATGAAACAAATCATTTTATATTCAACATGACTTTACCCTGGCCATTTTTTTTTAAAGAAAAAACAAAGGTGAAAACAAAGGCCCCACTGACTAGTCTTACTTCTACATTTCTGTATTGATTGGTTTTGTGTTACTGTACACATGTGTTTCACAGAACACAACTTCTACCATGTGGGTCCAAGAAATCAAACTCAGCTCAACAAATCTGTTGCCAAGCATAGCAGCAGGTGCCTTTCCCCTCTACGCCATCTCAAAGACCCTAATCTTGCTTTAGCAGCTGCACTCTCATAATGTATGCTATGTTGTCTGAGTTCACTGAGCAGCTAGGACTAGAAGTAGGGTTGCCCTCAACAAACGTCAGCCCCAACCATGTTTCATTATGTCAAGTGTCTACTGAGACTCCTTGCCTGGGAATGACTTGGACCTCACAAACTCTGTAACAGAAGGGAAGAAAGAACAAAATAGCCCAAGACAAGAAAACATAAACCACTCCCATCCGATATTATTATTGTCTATTCCATGAAGTAAAAGTGTTCAAACCAGGGCTAGAAAGATGGCTCAATAGTTAAGAGAGCTACTCTTGCAGATGGAGCAGGGTTGGATTCCTAGCATTCATGGAAAGTGGCTCACAACTGCCTGTCACTGCAGCTCCAGGGGATCCAATGCCCCCTTCTGGCCTCCACAGGCTCTAACATACAGGTGAGCACACACACACACACACACACACACACACACACACACACACACATACATAAATGAATAATAAAATACTTAAATACGTAAATAATAAAATAAAAGGGAAAGAAAAACTGGAAGTTTGGCTATAGGGGAAGGGGTGGGGGTGGAGCTCAACCACAAGGAGAAAACTCTAGATGACTCTCTTTTCAGTTGTTTTTGTTGGAGTCTGTGTACCAATTTGGTGATGTTATCTTTATACATTGGTATGCATTCTTTTACTTGGAAGCCTCATCCAACAGGATACTCTGCTCCAACTGGCCATGTACACTGGGAACTTTAGCTAGTTGGATGGGGGGTTTTGCTGGTCTTGCAAATCCCTGATCTGATATTACTTTTCTGGTGTTATTTGTGCTGGTACTTGGGAGTCTTACCTGATGGGACACTCTTCTTAACCCAGGGCATTCCATTACGAACTCCAACTGACGACCTCAGTGGGGCTTGCCCCTATTTTGACCACCTAATTTGATGTTTTTATTTCTACCTATTTATCTAATACATTACTTTCTCTTACTATCTACTTAACAAACTCATTCATTCAAAACATAAAATAAGCCAGGTGGTGGTGGGGCACACCTTTAATCCCAGCAGTCAGGAGGCAGAGGCAGGTGAAGCTCTGAGTTTGACGCCAGCCTGGTCTACAGAGTAAATTCACCAGGACAGCCAATGCTACACAGAGAAACCCTGTCTCAAAAAACAAAACAAAACAAAAAATATGACTATGGTAGATCATTCTCCAGACTGTAAGAACACTCATCATCAATTTCATTCTACGTTATCTTTAAAAGTTGAATTTCGGGGCTAGAGACAGCTTAGGGGTTAAGAGCTCTGGCCGCTCTTCCAGAGGACCCAGGTTCAATGCCCAGCACCCACATGGCAGCTCACAACTGTTTGTAACTCCAGTTCCAAGGGGTCAGACACCTTTGTACCAATGCACATAAAATAATGTTAAATAAATTTTTAAAAAAACTTTTAAAAAAAAGAAGTTGAGTTCGTACTCCAACATGAAAAGGAAACTAAGCGTTGCAGAGATGGCTCTGTGGTAAGAACACTTGCTCTGTAAGCCCAAGGACACTGAGTTTAAATCCCTAGCATTCACATAAAAAGCCAGACATGGCTTTACACTCCTTTAAACCCAGTATTGAAGGACAAAGGCAGGGAGATCCTACATGCTGTAGCCTAGCTGTAACAGTGAGCTTCTGGTTCCTGAGAGACCCTGTTTCAAGGCAAACAGATAGGAGAGCTATAGAGAGAGAAAACTAAAGATGCCTGGCATCCTACTCTGGCTTCCACATATGCACACATGGGTATAATCATTACACATTTAGATACATACAATCACACACTCATAGGGAATCTCACATAACAAACCAAAACCACTAATAATTTTATTTAAAAAGGAAATGAAAATTGGTAGTTGTGATGCATGCTTTTAATCCCAGCACTGAGGAAGAAGCAGGCAGATCCCCTAGTTCCAGGCCAGCCTGGTCTACAGAGCGAGTTCCAGGGCAGCTAGGGCTACACAAGAAAAGAAAAAAGAAAAGAAAAGAAAAGAAAAGGAAAGGAAACTCAAGCTATAGCAAGTCAATGGGTTTCAATTTTCTTAACTCATATACATATGTGTTATTTAAAATATTATTCTAAATTCTACTATTGAAGCCGGTTGATGGTGGCGCACGCCTTTAATCCCAGCACTCAGGAGGCAGAGGCAGGCGAATGAATCTCTGTGAGTTTGAGGCCAGACTGGTCTACAGAGTGAGTTCCAGGTCAGCCAGGGATACACAGAGAAACCATGTCTCAAAAAGACAAAACAAAACAATAACAAAAAAAAAATTCTACTGTTGAAGCCTAGCATAGTGGTACACATCTCTAATATTAGCATTTGGGAGGCAGAAGCAAGTGGATTTCCATGAGAATGAGGCAAGCCTGGGCTGCATAAGTAAGCAGACACTGCCTTTGAAAAAAGAAAACAAAAATCAAAAGTACACTATTGAAAAGAAGCAAAATACCTACAGATATCAGAAAAACATCATTTTTCAGGTTCTGAGAATTAAGATTATTTTTTGTTGAGATTTAAGATTAACAACTAAATCTCACAAAAAGTTTAAATTGTACAATATTAACGAAAATGTTTTTAAGACACAAACTAATGATAAAATTTAAGTTACTGATAGGACTGATTTCATTTTCCTCTTATACTTTTATTCCACTTGATATTCTTTAATGAATATAAACTACAGACATAAAAAGAAAAAAACTAGCTTACTTTTGGATTTAAAAAAATGTAATTCATGTAACCTTAAGTATTCAGTGTTGTCCCTAAAATTTCGGAGACAAAAGTACACCATATATAGAACATTTATCTACCTTAGATAAAGAGCAACAAGACAACATACAAACCTATCCATTCTCCTCCCAGTGAACTTGTACCTATCTCCTCTAGTGGAAACAAGCACGGACGTTAAGAACGCTGACAGGACACCTGCCTATTTATTTCCAGCTGTGACTATCTGACACACTGTCCGCTATGTTCTCACCTGGACAGCAGCGAGGCTCTGGAGCTGGGAGCTGCTGAGATGCTGCTGCTGAAGAGCAGCCGTGTGCAGCATCAAGTGCTGTTGCTGAGCCGCGTACATCTGCTGGAGGTACTGAGCAGCCGAGCTGGGGGGGCGATGCAATGCCTGTTGAATTACCTGTGATAAGGTAAGGGACCCTATGTCAAACCAGCATCTCAACCTCTGCCTTTTCCCCTCTGGTTTCGAGGTTTTATGCATGCTGAGCTTAGGCTCCACCATTGAAACTTCAGATCAACCATCAGCTTTAACCACAAACTTCAGTATAAAAAGTTCAGTTTAAGTTTTTACTATTTTAATACTCAATGTCATTAACCTTATTGAGACATTTACCTATTGTTACATATCACTAGGTTAATTACCCAGATCATACACTTAAAGTAGAATGGCAAATATACATGAAATCTTAAAATCTCATTAGTAGTCAAAAAAAATTACTAAGTGAAGGGATATAGTAAGTTACACCTTTAGGATGGACAAAGATCCAAAAGAATACTACTACTGACTCTAAAAATAACCCTTCCTACACTAGTAGTAAGAATTTAAGTTTTATAGACTTTCTGAATACAGCTTGGTAGGTTTCAGCGCATATGTAAAAAGAGTACTTTCACCATGCAGTCATTACCAACAGCAATACAAACAAACGCAATGACCGCCAGCTACACGTCCAGCAAGTTCATAAAAATGGCTGGAACAAAGAAGTGGGTTTAACTTTCAACTGAACTTGAATTTTAGTTTTAATAAATTGCTACAGGTATGCCTAGTGACTTCTGTATTTTACAGTGCAGATACAGAGCTATATGATACAAAGTACTAATATATTTCAAGGTAAAGAAAATCACTGAGTAGGATAGTATTTGGTCTTAAAATACTCAAGTAAATAACAAGGTAAGTATGATGAACTTAGTGTCTGGTTTGAACTTTTCTACACATGTCTGAAAGTCCTTCAATTATATTAAACACTGTATAAAATTAAACAAGTTTTTCTCTTTGAAAATGACTCAATAATTTTTAAATTTTTAAAAAATACCGGATTTTTTTTTGTTTCCACATAGGACTAGTCTTAATCTTTGTTTTAAAACTGTATTTCTTTATTTGTGTACTGATGTACCAAGGCATGTGTGCGTGGGGTCAGAGGAAACTTGCAGAACCTGGTTCTCTCCTTCCACCATGTGAACTCTAGGAATCAAACTCAGGCTGTTGGGCTCAAATACAAATGCCTTTATCTGCTGAGCCATCTCACCAGCTCCCAGAACTCTGGAGGAAGAATATTTTAACAACTACTAGAGCTGGGGAACTGGCTCAGTGAAGGGCCTAAGTATGGCCCCCAACACCATGTGGCAGTTTACAACTGCCTATAACTGCAGTTCCAGAGCACCTGACACCATCTTTGGGTGGAGAAGTAGCACACATGTGGTACACATATATACACGCAGGCAAAAACACACATTAAAAACACATATATAGGGCTGGAGTGATGGCTCAACTGTCAAGAACACTTGCTCTTCCAAAGGACCCAGACTTAGTTCCCAGCAGCAGTGTGGCTCTCAACCATCCACAGCTCCAGTTCTAGAGAATGGGACACCCTCTTCTGGCCTTCATGGGCACTTCATGCACTTGGTGGACATACACACATGCAGTCAAAACACTTACATAAATAAATCCAATCTTTTGAATAAAATTGAGTGATTTTGTTTAAAATAAACTCATAAAAATCATTAATTATAGTAATTATTAATAGATACAAAATCTGAGCCCCCACAGAGGTCAATCATTCTAAAAAGACAATAGAAAAAGCCTCCTTCCATCTGTTCAAAAGATAAGTCAGACTGCCTCATCACACGCACTGTGACTCTGGATCAGCAGAGCTCCAATCTCAGCACTACAGCAGGGTTTCACAGTACCCATGGAGCAAAAGTACTATAACCCACAGGAAGTCAGGAGAGCTGACATAAAGTCATGAAGTCCTTAACTCAGATTTTCATGAGTTACCATTTATTTGTATTCCTATCTCTCAAACTACACACTGTTCCTGTTACGGAGTCTTCTCAGATTCCTAGCTGAGTACTCATAGCCAAAGACTATGGACAAAACACTAAATGATCCAGACCTACAATATTTCTCTTTGGTCAGATAAATCCACATATGATCTTCTAATTCCATAACAAATTTCTACAAACTCACACTGAGTAACAAGTGAACAGGCAGTCTGATGACCAGTTCTCTCAGTACAGCCAGTGTCAGCAGTCCGCCCACCACAGACACCCAGCACTGAAACTGCACGTTATAGCACAGCACACCATTCTTACTGCTTCTCTACGGAAACCAGGGTGAAGAAAATCCACATGACTAAAACAGAAGATACTTAATTGGGTAAATGAACATGGCTTTGAAGACATCTTAGATGAGGTAATTCAGTAATCTGTAATAACTAGAGTCTGAGCTTCCTGACAGACCTAGCAGCGCCTGCTCAGTAACATTTCATTTATGAATTTATCCAGTTTAAGTGAAAAATGAAAAAACAAGGCCGGGCGGTGGTGGCGCACGCCTTTAATCCCAGCACTTGAGAGGCAGGCGGATCTCTGTGAGTTTGAGGCCAGCCTGGTCTACAAGAGCTAGTTCCAGGACAGGCACCAAAGCTACAGAGAAACCTTGTCTCAAAAAACCAAAAAAAAAAAAAGAAAAAAAGAAAAATGAAAAAACAGCATAGTCAAATATCATACCATCTGTATGTTCTTCCATATAATATTCTTCCACATATAATTCACACAGAGAAAACATAAGGCATTAGAAGCATACTGTGCATTTGAGTTTGAATTTCTGCTTTGCTGACTAGGTCTAAAACTGTCTTCTATCTACCATGGAAGAACAGAGCACAGGGAGGAGTGTAGCATAAACAGTGAAGAAAACAACTATTAAAGAACATTTTGATTCTCAGCATTAAAAAAAAAAAACCACAACTTCACAACTTTAAAGAATGCAACTGAGGATCCTATAAAATGAAGACAAGTAACATGGAAGCAGCAAGAATGCAGAGTAGCTAATGGCAGAAGCTGAAGTCAGAAAACCTACCAGCAATGTGAATTTGGAATTATTTAGCCTATTTGAAACACTGATTTTCCCACTTGTAAAATGCCCACTGTACAGAGGTCTGTTGAGGATTAAACAAAATAATCCACATAAGGAAAGCATTCATCAAATGCTTGGCACAAAAAGTTGTTCAACAGACAGACACTACTGTCATTTATTAGAAACGCGTATGTCCCCCATACAATTCTCGATGCTTCACTTAATTCTCACAGTAACTGATAAAAGTACAGTGTTATCCTCATCTTACTGCTTCCTGGGGCTCAAGGAGACAATCATGTCTTTTGCCCAAGGACACACAGATATTAAGAATAATGAAAAAAGAGTTCAAACAAAGAACCCATCAGACTGCAACCTCATGTCTTTTTTAAAACAATACTTTATTGTCTCTATTGGAATAAAGTTAAACTAAGTCAATTTTACTTTCTCAATTAAGTGACTGCATAAAGATTTTTCAAAATATTCTCTTCCCTCTCTACCCAAGAGGCTGTAGAGCTGTCCTGCTTAGAGTTCTTACATCGCCTGGAGGTGAGACATTCTCTCTAAATCACTGGTGGGCTCAAATATGAAACCCTATTGAAACAACTATCCTAAACATCTTACACATAATATTTTCACTCTCACAGTGGTACATAGAGACGTTCAATTATAATTTTCCTGACACATAATCTTTTTTTAATTTTTTTTAAAAACTACCTTTTCTGATTTTATCTGCCAAATCCTTTTTGTACTCCTTCCCCTCATCTTGCTCCCTCCACCTTCCCTCCCCCCCTCCCACCCTCCATCCCACTCCTCAGAGAGGGCAAGGCTTCCCACAGGGAGTCAACAAAGTCTAGCACATTGCTTTGAGGCAGGACAAGGCCCTTGCCACCACATCTAGGCTGTACAAAGTATCCATCCAAAGAGAATGGGTTCCCAAAAAGCTAGTACACGCAGTAGGAATAAATCCTGGTGCCACTGCCAGTGGTCCCACAGTCTGCCCTAGTCATACAACTGTCACCAACACTCAGAGGGTCTAGTTTGGTCCTGTACTGGTTCCCTCACTGCCTAACACATAATCTTATAAGATTCATACGAATAAATGTAAGGCCTCTCAATAGTACAATTATTAAATACCTTTATTGGTTTTTAAAAACTTAATATTATTTCTTTTCTTTTACTTGATTTTTGACAATGCTAGAAAACAAACACAGACTAGCAAGCACTCAACCACTGAGCTGCATTCACAGACTGAACCATTCCAATTCTATCTTAGGATATGAATCAACACGTACAACTGACTTAGGAACAAAACAGTACGCCACCTTCAGTCTTAACCTCCCCATGCATATAGCTGAAATACCTGAACAGCATGTCGGTCTGAACCACTGTAGACAGAGATCTGCGGTTGCTGCATTCGAGAGGAGGAAGTGGTGATAGTGGTGGTGGTAGTGCTATTGGCTGTTGTTGACACTGACGATGTTCCAGAGTTTGGTTCGCTATCCATAGCTGCACTGTGATCCTTAAATCTGCAGACAACACAAAGGATCAGTACTGGTAAAAAGCACTATTTTATGAGCTTTAATGAATACTCACTACAAACACAATTAGTTAAGAGTCTAAATGTCTAGGAAGGCCTTAATACAATAAAGCTAGCACACAATCACCAAATAGAAGGGAAACATACTTCCCCCAAACACAGAATAGTTGATAGTAATATCTGCTAAACGGAATTCAAATGACTCAGAACAGTAACTGAGACCAAGGCTAGATTGAAGTTCATGTTTGTATTATTGAAAAAGGACAGATTTGAGAGACAGGCGAGTAGATACAGGGTCCCAGTCCTAATCAAGAACTATCTGCAATTGACACCCATTGGCAACTGGAAAATAAATTTTCTCCAAAGAAGTCTCACTGGATATATCTATCAATGACACTTCAGGGCAGGTCCCATGCCCAGAAGTTAGTCAATGCAAAGTGAACTTTCAAGGACCTTTTGCTTCATTTTGGCAATTTTTGTCTAGAATTGATCTTTTGGTTATTTATTTTGATTTTCGCTTTTGTGGGCCGTTAGGGGGGTATACATTTCTGGGTTTCTTTTTTCTTCCCATTCCCCAAGACAAGGTTTCTCTGAGTAGTCCTGGCTGTCCTCAAATTCAGAGATCTACCTGCCTCTGCCTCCCAAGTGCTGGGATCAGGCACGCGCCACTACCACCCAGCTGTTTCTGGGGTTTTGTTTTTGTTTTTATGTTTGCTTAAAAAAGACTGAGAGGAAAAGAACAGAGCTGAATAGGTAGGGAGATAGGGAGAATCTGGGAGGAATTGGAGAGGGAAAAAACATAATCAAAATATATTGTATGAAAACATTTTTCAATCAAAAGGATAGATTTGAAGCCCAGAGGTGGTGTTGCAGGCCTTCAATCCCAGCTCTCAGGAGGCACAGAGGCAGGCAGATCTCTGTGAGTTCGAGGATATCCTGATCTTCAGAGTTTCAGGACAGCCAGGGCTACACAGAACACAGAGAGACCCTGCCTCAAAAAAAAAAAAAAAAGGTAGATTTGAAACCAATATCAGAGTTTCTTGCTTATTTATGCCTTCTTAGGTGTCTGCAGGGAAGAGTTCATATGTGTCTGTGTGCACCTGTACATGTATATGGGGAGTTATGAACAGTTCTAAAGCCACAATGTGGGTGCAAGAATTGAACTCAGGTCCTTTGCTAACTGCTGGCCATCTCTCCATCCCTCCAAGTCATTCTTAGCTATACTTTAGAGAAGATTCCTAAGGACTTAAAATCACTAGTTTAACTGTAGGTGCCATACAGTTATTTAAAAAGTCTCAGGAAACCTGGTATGGTGGCACACACATATGTAATTCCAGCATTTAGGGAAGGTCGTCCTTAGCTAAATATGGCCAACCTGGGCTACACAAGATCCTGCCTCTTAAAAAGAAAAGTAATTAATTAAGGAATAAAAATTAAAAAGTTAGTGGGGTTGAAGAGATGGTTCAATAGTTAGACCACTAGTTATTCTTGCAAAGAGCCTGGGCTGATGCTCAGCACCCACACAGAGACTCATAACCCTCCAAAACTGAGTCCCTGGATCAGATGCCTTCTGCTGTCCTCTGAGGAGCCAGGCACAAACCATGGAGTAATGCTGAGACATATATGCAGGCAAAATACCCATACATATAAACATTTTAAGTTATTTTTTTTACAGCTCTCAGTAGCTTTTTTTATTAGTCTACAACATTGTCCTTAGTAATTCTAGTACAGAGTTTAGCTTACTAACAGATGAGTCCACTGAAGGAAATGAAGTAGTCAATAAAAGCAACTTCTTTTGTTTGTTTGTTTGTTTTTGTTTTTCGAGACAGGGTTTTTCAGTGTAGCTTTGGAGCCTGTCCTGGAACTAGCTCTTGTAGACCAGACTGGCCTCGAACTCAGAGATCCACCTGCCTCTGCCTCCCGAGTGCTGGGATTAAAGGTGTGCGCTACCACCACCCACGGCAACTTCTTACATCCTTACAAAAATCTTTTTTCATGGAGAATTGCTCTAAAATTTGGGGCGGTGGTAGAATATAATTGACTCACTTTCCTATATACAGCTAGTAAAATATATTTTTGTAGCAAACTTTATAATCTTTTTCCTCCAGTATTACAATCTTATGTCATTTACGCTGTGGTGCAAAGTTTCACCGAAATAAATGTTTTAATAAACTCAAAGCTCTGAGGTCAATTGCAAAGGCTTCCATGTTGTTGCAAACTGAAACCACACTAGCTGTCACTCCAGGGTTGGGGAGACACACGGGGAGGCTTTACTAGTTTCCTCTTTCCTTATGTGTCTTTTTCTCCTGAGAAATAAAATTTAACCCAAGTGACATTCCCATCGTTGACAAGAATGAAACAAGGGCATTGCTTGTCTTTCTAAAACAAAGTAGGGGATCATGGTGAGACTCACATTCTCCAGCCCACCACCCCTGAATTAACATTCACTTCACAGAAGTGAGGGGAAAATGGAGAGGAGGGATTTCTCACTACTTTTTTATTGTAAATTTAATCACACACTTTTATACTTCGCTGCTATTTTTTTAATTGCCTTCTAATCAGCAAACCATAGTATCATCCGGCACCTGTTTAATATGACGCGCAATCAGCAGTAAGGTAAAATCTTACTCAAACTACCCTCTGTCATGACACTTCTGCACCATGTACCAATCCAAAAACCCAGTCCAAACCCTGGTCTTTCAAAGTCTTATTCTGCTCAGCTGTGTTCTCAAGTCCAAAGGCGATGGCAAGTAGTTCTGACTAACCAAAAATGGTCACAGAGAATCTAGACATTAATTCTAAACATTGGTGGGTGCAACTGACCAAAAATCATCGCATTACGTTTCGAGGCCTGGTACAAAAGAACACTTTCGGTAAGTGCATGGGCTTGGCGTGGAAATACCTGCACCGTTCGGCTCTGCCCCACCAGAGGCCTACCCGGGAACCGCTGAAGTTTCGAGTCGCTAACCTAGCATACCATCACAGCGCCACCCAAGAATGCGGCCCTCCGGGAAGGACGCACGCCGCTGCAGCCCGAACCCGGAGGGGGACCACCAGGAAAGGCCCGGTGCCTCGGCCGCTCGGACGCCTCCCCGCGGTCCCCGGCCGTCCCCGGCTCCGCGGTCCCGCCGCACGG